AAGTCTAATTGCAAAAGGACTCTTGAATTCAACTTTTTTTTGCAGACAGTATGGTTTGATGACCAGTTTTTCACTTTTCAATGGAAAACTTGCATGTAGTTTTAGTCTCATTTGGCATATATTTGAACCACTTACTATCCTAAAGAAGAAAATTATGGTAGCATATGAAATGAATAGGGTGTACTGATCATTGTAAAGTGTTTTTTTTACAGATTTAGTGAAATATTTGTGATGGACTACAGATTTTATGTACAAAGCTCTTCACATTTCACATACATCAAACAGGCCGTTTAACCAGGGACATAAATACAAATATTCTGCACATTTTTTCTGTGATAATCTACTTTTCTCTAGATTCCGAGTTCACAAATGGTTAATTAAATTTGATTTAAGCATAGAAACACAAATATCAGGAACATAAAAAGCTGTCAGATAGAAAGTCAGCATGGCTCTTAGGCATAAAATGGAAACTGCTTTAAAATGCTTATTTTAGCCGTATAATGCCAAAATGCTTATTTTAACAGAATTTCTGTCAAACAAAGATGTAAATCCTTTACTTTTATTGAGTTTGACAAATTGAAACCAGCAAACCATTCAGGAAAGTTGCCAAAGTACAGAATCTACATTTACGGAATTCATCTCTTAGGCCCGAGAATACAGTTACTTCGTAGTGCATTTCTTTTAGACAGTAAATTCAAATTAAAAAAATCGCACCTGCTCTATCTCAAAAAGATTTTTACAGTGTAGTGTACTACTATTGATACAAATAATATCAAAATTATAGAAACTTCTACCAGCTCTAACTCAAAATATTGACAATTCTGTGTTAAGGGGGGCTAAAATTCAGTTTGACAGCTTCAGACATTCTAATTTTTGACCTTTTTTAACTGGACCAAATCACTACTTAACATAAAGATTCAGCACCCAAATTTTTTTAACATGTAATTTCATCCCCTTACTTAATATTTCATGCATAAAATATCAAGAAATAAATTGGGAAAGTGTATCAAAAAAAAATGCAAGTTATACACTGTTCACACTAGGGACTATATTTGTAGACAACGAAAACCAAAGGACGATAACTGTGTCCTTGGACCATTTGGATATGGATCTCGAATGTTTTATAATTCTAATTTTAGGTCCGCGCGCGTGATGATGTTTTGAAGTCACGTGACGCTCGAATATATATGTCTGGAGTTAGAATATTAATTTCTTTTCAGGGGAGACCGTTGAACAGAGCACATGTGTATTGATCGGAGAAACACCATCACTATTGGTTTTATTATTTACAGGTCATTGATAACGGATCATGCATGCATCTTACGCACACATGTTTACCGGAGCACAGATTTGTATTTTAATGCACGATTAAAACATTTGATTGTAGGATTTCCGCAATATTTACGATTTTTCTACGTCATTGAATTTTATTTCTCAATCAAGCGGACCGCGTCAAACGGGAACCTGAATTGGAGCCGATTTTTGCAGGAATTGAATTTCTATTTAAGAAGTTTGTACATCAGAAGGATTGCATTTTTACAGTCAAATGTACAGGACTGAACTTCAAGGCGAAACGGGATTCCTCAAAGTAGAAGGCAAAAAAAAAAAAAAAAAGGGAGGGAGGGGAGGGGGGGGGGGGGGGGAGGGAAGTGGAGGATGGTGGACCTTGGTTGATAAATTAAGATAAGATGCATGTATACATCATGATAGCTGCAAAGTTTGAGGCTATAATTAGTTCATTTTGTTCATTTTACTATTTCATTGGCATGGAACCCCTAAAACAATGACGCGTACCATTTTGACAAAAACTTTCCAGTTATATCATGTCGCGACTAACATTTTGGTCAAATTTTTTTTATATGGCTTACGGTTTACGTGTTACAAGAACATAACGACAAATTAATTTGGTAAAGGCAGATAACTCCTTTAAGACCTCACTTGATCGCTTCGATTCAAATTAGTCAAAAATTCCTGAGGATGTAACAAACAATTTAGAAAAAGAATTTTGTCGATATCTTTTTTTGTTACGAAGGAGATGCACACAGATGATAAACAGTGAATAGGGAGATAACTCTTGCAAAGAAAATGATTCGGCTTAGCAGGGTGAAATTTAAAAGCGCATAAACTATACAATACAATATGAGAAATATCTAAGCGACATATTGCGAAACAAAAATTTCAAAAGTTGGCGGAAAAAAAAAAAAATAATAATAATAATAATCAGAACAAATACAATAGTTCTTTCCACAGAAAAGTGGAAAGACCTAATAATACGGAAAAAGAAACAGAGGAAAAGCAATATGTCACCCGACATTGTTGATCTGTCGATTGGGTGACATAATAAGAACTGAGCAAAACCAATAAGTCTTCCCAAACTTCGTTTGGGAGACTTAAATATGCCAGTATATCTATTTAGATTTGAGTCTATTTAGAGCTTGACATGTGGAAACAATGCTTGTCTTAAGTTTTGAACTTTTAAATGATCTTCATGTCATTTTGTTGCTGTCCCATTGAAGTTGATTCTTAATATTGTTTTGTTCATATTTAAGGTATTATGATGTGTCAACTAAGCTGATAAAATAAGTCTGATTTTTTATATATGTACCGGTATTCATTTAAATTTCACATTAAAGAACAACATATACAGGCAAATCTGGTCATTGTGTTCATCCACGAAATGAGGGTATTTTGTTGACAAAACTTTAAAATGAACAAACTTATGGGATGAAATTTCCAGTCAGCATCCTATGCCTTGCAGAATTTTACACCTATTTCATACCTCAGATAGATCAAAGAAAATAAATTAATTTAGTCTATTTTTTTTTATACATTCTTACTAAGATGGATTCATTATTGTCTTGAATCCTTAATTATGTCACCCGATCGACAATTGTCGGGTGACATATTGCTTTTCCTCTGTTTCTTTTTCCCTATTATTATTATGTCACCTGATCGACAATGTCGGGTGACATATTGCTTTTCCTCTGTTTCTTTGTTATTATCATTATTTTTCCAATGATTTTTGTCCGGCAGTTTTTTTGGAGCCAATGGAACCAATCTTAATGATAGTTCACTATAATGAGGAACACAAAATTTCGGGTTGCAGTAGGTCTTAGGAACATAAAAAATGGCTGCCGTTACCATGGAAACGGAACAAATGTGAAAAAATCCAGTTTTTGGTTTTGGTGAACTATTTGGATATGTTTAAACTTAGAATCATTATATTTTAATACAATGTAGGTGCCCACTATATACTGGTGTTGGATGATTTTGGCAATCATTGGAACTACTATATTGCCATGGAAACTACACCAAAAATTTCAAAAATATCAAAATGCTCCAAACTTAATGAAACTTCACAGTAACGATGAGCAACATTGGAAGATGTGGCATTTGGAGTTAGAATTTCCAAAATGGCTGCTGTTACCATGGAAACAATGCAAAAAGGTCAAAATGCTCCAAAAACTTCAGGGTTTGGTGAATTATTTTGGTATGCTTTAACTTAAAATCATCAAATTTTTATACAATATAGTTGTCCATTATATACAGGTTTTGAATGATTTTGACAATCATTGGAATTACTATGTTACCATGGATACAGGAGCAAAAGTTTCAAAAATTTCAGAATGCTTCACTTTATGAAACTTCACAATAATGTTGACTGTCATGTGTGAAAGCGGCAATTGGCGTTGGAATTTCCAAAATGGCTGCCGTTACCATGGTAACAAGGCAAAAAAGGAAAAATTATGCGTAAAATTTATAGATCCGCTAAATGTTCTAAAAAATTACAGAAAGATGTATAGCCATCAGTATATATGTGCATTCACTGTTTAAAATTTTTATACTGGCTACAATCTAGTGGCAATGGGGGAAGGGTGACATCCGCTATTGCTTGCAATGGCAAATCTAGTTATTATTATTATTTTTCTTCCACCTTATTTTGTCCGCCCACTTTCTCAGAGCCAAAGGAACCAATCTGAATGATGGTTCACTATAACAAGGAACCCTGACTTCCAAGTTGCAGTGCAACTTTGGAACTAAAAAATGGCTGCCATCACCATGGAAACTGAAAAATGGTGAAAAATATAATTTTGGAGTTCGGTGAATTATTTGAGAATGCTAAAACTTAAAATCATTAGATTTTAATACAATGTAGGTGCCCACTATATACTGGTTTTGGATGATTTTGGCAATCATTGGAACTACTATGTTGCCATGGAAACTACACCAAAAATTTCAAAAATATCAAAATGCTCCAAATTTAATGAAACTTCACAGTAACGATGAGCAACATTGGTAGATGTGGAATTTGGCGTTGGAATTTCGAAAATATCTGCCGTTACCATGGAAACAATGCAAAACAGGTCAAAATCCTCCAAAATCCTAAAAGTAGCATTTACTTTCTTAAAATGGTAGGTCAAATTGATTGAAACTTTGATGGTATGTTCCCTCCCGTGTTCCAATGTGGCATCTGTCATTAAATTTTGGGAATGGTCTCTGTTACCATAGGAACCATCAAAAATGTCAAAAATGTCAAAAATTTCAAAATGCTCCAAAATTCATGAAACTTCATATAATTGTTGAATGGCAAATCTGGATGAAATGGCCACTGTTGCCATGGAAACTGCAAAAATGTCAAACTTAATGAAACTTGATATTATTGTTAACTGGCAAGTATAGATGAGACTTTTGGCTTTGAAATTTTCAAAATGGCTGCTGTTGCCATGGAAACGGCAAAAATGTGATTTTTTTTTTTAATACTCTGAATGTAATGGAAATTTACAGAAAGATGTATAGCTATGCATATATGTGCATTCACTGTTAAAATTTTTTGAAATGGCTGCCACTTAGTGGCAATGGGGGAAGGGTGACATCCGCTATTACTTGCAATGGCAAATCTAGTTGTAGTTGATTTTAATGGGTAGGAAAATACAATTATAAAAGATGTTACCAAATTAAATGAATTTTAACAGTATACATAAATACAGATTTTTGTTTACCTCCATTTCCAGTGGCACAGGCAAATATAACCCAGCACACACAAGCTCCCCATAATGTTCTGTGAACTGTGTTATACAATGCTGCAACATCTACAGACATTGGATGACCATTCATTTCATCATACAATCCATACAGAATAATTATAGCTAGTCCTGCAGCTACTATCCATACAAACAGGTTGACATACTTTAAATATAATATTACAAATTAAAAAACATGGAAAAAGTACAAAATATCTTTAAGACATCATTACTCCTACCAAGTTAGGTATAATTCATTTAAAGTTTTAATGAGCCTGTAAGATTTTAACAGATTACTTCGGACAAATTTAACTTTGGATAACTTTGTTTAAAACAAGAGAGCACACACTGAAATGTCTCACCTGCTTTACTGACCATTGATTTTATGTAAAAGTCCTAAATATAAAGTTTTACTACAAGTATCACATAAACTTAACATGATCAAAGAAAATGAGGTCAAGGTCAAATAAACCAAGCTTGAAATACATGTATACCTTACAATCATTCCATACACTAAATATAGTTGACCTATTGCTTATAGTATATAAGAAACAGACCAAACCATATAAACGTTATATTGACCAATGGACAATGAAAATGAGGTCAAGGTCAGATGAACCCTGTCAGTCAGACATGTACACCTTACAACTTTTCCAAGCTTTAAATATAGTTGACCTTATTGCATATAGTATCTAAGAAACAAACTTAAACAGGAAAATTTAACATTATCCAATGAACCATGAAAATGAGGTCAAGGTCAGATGATAACTGCCAGACAGACATATACACCTTACAATCATTCAATAAACCAAATATAGTTGACCTATTGCTTATAGTTTAAGCAAAACAGACCAAAACACAAAAACTTAACATTGAGCAATGAACCGTTAAAATGAGGTCAAGGTCAAACAAAACCTGCCTGACTAACATGTACATCGTAAAATATATCCACACACCAAATATAGTCGACCTATTGCATACAGTATTAGAAAAACAGACCAAATCACAACTATAACATAAGGCATCTATATACAAAGTATGAAGCATCCAGGTCTTCTACCTTCTGAAATATTAAACTTTTAAGAACTTAGTTAACTCAGCCGTTTCCGCCACCGGATCACTATCCCTATGTCTGGCTTTCTGCATCAGAAGTTGCAGGCTTGACAAAAAATCAAGAAGTTTTTCTACATGAAGTTTCAGAGAAGATTTATAAAAATTGGCTAATCAGAATTAAAAGATTGTCTCTGCCAGCCATGATTTTTATCCAATCAGAACCAAATGATGGTCATGATGTATGGGACCTTTCATACATCAATCTTACAAAGTAGGATTAAAATAGCCTAAGATTCAGAGCAGAGTATTTTCAGAGAACAATTATTACTCATTACAAAAAAAATACAAAAACATAAAATTAATTGTCTTACTGTTTTTCAAATGAACAGTTATTGTACCTAAGACTAAGACATGAACCTTGTCATCAATATTTAGATATGAGCCAAGGCTTTACCCAAAATGATAATTTTTTTTTTTGGGGGGAAGGGGTAAGCCTCTGAATCATATGAATCCATGTGTTACCATAAATCTGTCACATAAGTAAATTTCACAATTATTGTGCTTTTGACATTATGGTGACGTAACAAATGACCTTTCTGCACTAAAGTGTCTAAACTATATCAACTTTATATATATATAATTATGTAATGGCAAATGACAAACCTAATAAAAATGACAATAGATCACATTGGTCTATATAAGGCGAAGTGAACAATTACAATAGGTTACTATTTTGGGTTACTATCATGCAAACATTCTATGTTTACCCTGTTTATCCGACATTTACAGTTTGTTCTGTATAGCACATATCCTGTAAACATTCCCATTAAATAGGGTCCTATACGGCAGTATGGTTTGATGTAGTAGTAATCAAAGTAGGGAAAGAAGTCACCTCTACAAATATAAATCATAAAACCAAATTATACTGTAAATTCAGAAGTTATTGCGATGTTTTTATTACTGTGAAAAATGCAACAGTATCGGTCTGGGGGCAGTAAATTGGTACCCTTTCATGTTATCTGGCGTAGTATAATTGGTACAGTTTAATGTTATCTGCAGTATAATTGGTACAGTTTAATGTTATCTGTAGTATAATTGGTACAGTTTAATGTTATCTGTAGTATAATTGGTACAGTTTAATGTTATCTGTAGTATAATTGGTACAGTTTAATGTTATCTGTAGTATAATTGGTACAGTTTAATGTTATCTGTAGTATAATTGGTACAGTTTAATGTTATCTGGTGAAGTAAAATTGGTACTGTTTATAGTTATCTGGTGTAGTAAAATTGGTACAGTTTATAGTTATCAGGTGCAGTATAATTGGTACAGTTTAATGTTATCTGGTGCAGTATAATTGGTACTGTTTAATGTTATCTGGTGCAGTAAATTGCTATAGTTTAATAATGTTATCTAATGCAGTAAAATGGTACTGTTTTATGTCATCTGGTGCAGTAAAATTGGTACTTTTTAATGTTATCTGCAGTATAATTGGTACAGTTTAATGTTAACTGGTGAAGTATATTTGGTAGTTTATAGTTATATGGTGAAGTATAATTGGTAGTTTATAGTTATCTGGTGAAGTATAATTGGTACTGTTTAATGTTATCTGGTGAAGTATAATTGGTACAGTTTAATGTTATCTGGTGCAGTATAATTGGTACTGTTTAATGTTATCTGGTGCAGTATAATTGGTACTGTTTAATGTTATCTGGTGCAGTATAATTGGTACTGTTTAATGTTATCTGCAGTATAATTGGTACTGTTTAATGTTATCTGGTGAAGTATAATTGGTACTGTTTAATGTTATCTGAAGTAGTATAATTGGTAGTTTATAGTTATATGGTGAAGTATAATTGGTAGTTTATAGTTATATGGTGAAGTATAATTGGTAGTTTATAGTTATCTGGTGAAGTATAATTGGTGCAGTTTAATGTTATCTGGTGAAGTAAAATTGGTACTGTTTAATGTTATCTCGTGCAGTATAATTGGTACTGTTTAATGTTATCTGCAGTATAATTGGTACTGTTTAATGTTATCTGCAGAAAAATTGGTACTGTTTAATGTTCACTGGTGAAGTATAATTGGTACTGTTTAATGTTATCTGGTGTAGTATAATTGGTACTGTTTAATGTTATCTGGTGCAGTATAATTGGTACTGTTTAATGTTATCTGGTGCAGTATAATTGGTGCAGTTTAATGTTATCTGGTGAAGTAAAATTGGTACTGTTTAATGTTATCTGGTGCAGTTTAATGTTATCTGGTGCAGTATAATTGGTACTGTTTAATGTTATCTGGTGAAGTAAAATTGGTACTGTTTAATGTTATCTCGTGCAGTATAATTGGTACTGTTTAATGTTATCTGCAGTATAATTGGTACTGTTTAATGTTATCTGCAGAAAAATTGGTACTGTTTAATGTTCACTGGTGAAGTATAATTGGTACTGTTTAATGTTATCTGGTGCAGTATAATTGGTACTGTTTAATGTTATCTTGTGCAGTATAATTGGTAGTTTATAGTAATCAGGTGCAGTATAATTGGTATTTTATAGTTATCTAGTGCAGTATAATTGGTACAGTTTATAGTTATCTGGTGCAATATAATTGGTACTGTTTAATGTTATCTGGTGCAGTATAATTGGTACTGTTTAATGTTATCTGGTGCAGTATAATTGGTGCAATTTAATGATATCTGGTGAAGTAAAATTGGTACTGTTTAATGTTATTCTTAATACATTGCATGAGGAATAGGTTACCATTTAAAGATACACAAACATTTAATCTATACAAACCCTGCTACAAGAGTTGGTTTCATGTTGTATGTTTTTGATATTACTCCTGTTGTAATCCATGATCCCAACAAAAACACAAACATCACAATACCACCTATTGCCTTAGAGCTGAAACACATATAAATAGCATTAATTTGTAATACTTATATATTTGAGGCAAAAAACATATATGAGATCTTCCTTTGAGTTTTCTTTGAAATGAGAAAGTATGATTATGCCACCTTTTCAACTTATGTGTAAAATGATCACATTTGGTCAAATATTTCAATTCTAAAATGTTTTTGACATCACAAAGACATTAAAATTGATATTTCTTTTATAAAGCTTTAAAATAATATTATTCTTATCTATGGATAAAACTAAAATATTTTTAAAAGGGTTGAAGAATTGAAAACAATTATCATCTACTAAGTTAGTAGATTAGTCTAACCAGGCAAGAACATTGATCAGAGCAGTAAGAACAAATCATAAAGCTGTAGGGATAGGAACTTCTGAAGGAGATGGATAGTAATCATTTGAAATTTTGAAACTATCGTAAACTGTTTCTCTAAATTTCTGCTGCATCATGAATCGTCTGATCTTCTTGGGGTATGGAATCATTTACAAAACTTGTTTTTATCTCTGAAAATTTTGACTGTTTTCTAACAACTGGCAGCCCAAATAGCCTCGGAAACACTAATTGGGCTACAGAAAATCATATTTGATCTACCCTGTCCTCTGTGAGTCTGAACAACAATGTTATCACTGTAGTGATTTTCTAGTTTGTGCTGTAGTTTATCAGTTGTATACTTACTACCCATTTCTTCTTGGGGGAAGGAACAATAAGTATTTAGCTAATATGAAAACGAAAAAGCATTCTGTTTCACAAACAGATCATCGTGTATATTTTCTTTTGGTTCTTAGGAAAGCAACATCATGTTCAGACTCGTTTAAAGAATCAGAAGCATGTTCCTTTTTCCAGTTCAGCAAGTAGTTAGCAATGCATGCTAAATAATACAGCGCGTTGTCCTTGAAGTTAGCAATGGAAAGTCGACTTCGACACGCCTTAATTGCATATCTTGTTGGTATGACTTTTGTCTGTAGAATAAAAATTTGGACCAGCCGAATGGTAATGCCATGAAGCATGTTTTAACGCAAGTTGATTCATTCGCGGAACGTTTTCCACACGCATTTGTTTTCCCTTATTCAAATATTTCCAAATTTATTCTACTTGTATTGGCTTTATAACACGACCAAGATACTTTATTTGTTCTAATGGAATCATTTTGGCTGAATCAAATTCATCATACAGGCGGCGATAAACTTTATCTTGTCTCACACCTTACAATTATTTATACACAAAATATAATTGACCTATTGCTTATGATAATTAAAAAAACAAACCAAAACAAAAAAAACTTAACATTGACCAATGAACCATGAAAATAAGGTCAAGGTCAGATGATACCTGCCAGACAGACATAAACACCTTAAAACCATTCCATACACCAAATATAGTTGACTTATTGCTTAAGGTACCCGAAAAACAGACCAAAACACAAAATCTTAACATTGATTAATGAACCATGAAAATTAGGTCAAGGTCAGACAATATCTGCCAGACAGACATATACACCTAACAACAATTCCATTCACCAAATATAGTTGATCTATTGCTTATAGTACTTGAAAAACAGACCAAACCACAAAAACTTAACACTGACCAATGAACCATGAAAATGAGGTCAAGGTCAGATGAAACCCACCAGAATGACATGTACCCATTACAGTAACATAAGGTATCTGCATACAAGATATGAAGCATCCAGGTCTTCTACCTTCTGAAATAAAAAGCTTAAACAAATAGTTTATGCTGCCACTGCCGGACAGTAATACCTATGTCTCACATACTGCGACTTTCGTTGCAGGATAGACAAAAATCTGGCAAGAATTGTACCCGTCAGAGCGCTAACGAAGCCATTTTCCATAAGTTTAATATTTCCAAGGGGCATTACTCTTTAAAAAAAGTCGATCGTCCACCATTATAGAACTTGTCCGAGATATTGCTGATATAAACCTATAGTATAAGTTTTATAAAAATCTGGCAAGAATTGTACCCATGACAGTGCTAAAGAGACCATTTTCGATAAATTTAATACCGGTATTTCCAAGGGGCATAACTCTTTAAAAAAAGTCGATCGGCCACCATTATAAAACTTGTCCGAGACATTGCTGATATTAACCTATAGTATAAGTTTTATAACTAGAGGCTCTAAAGAGCCTGTGTTGCTCACCTTTGTCTATGTGCATTTCAAACAAAGGACACTCTCTAACATTGTAGACGAGAATAGACTTCATGACAAAAATCTCTATTTTGTTGATCTTGTATTACTGATCTTTTAGTCTGTTTAGTTTCTCTTTATCTTCTTTAGTTTTTGCTCAAAACACAAATGAGGGTAAAAAATATCCACATTTAAGGGCAATCACTCCTATGAAGAGTGACAGTCTACTAACTATCTCGGCAAAATTTGACTTTTTAATAGATCTTGCCTTGCTGATCATTTTTGTGATTAAAAGTGTTTATTTATCTATTATAATTTGAATCATATAAGACATAACGGAAAAAAAAGTTTCTTTCAAAATATCATAGTTTTCATGATAAAAGGCAAAAATGAAAAAAAAAATGGTAAAATTTGTCATTTATGGGCAATAACTCCTAGAAGAATTTGTCTAACAGTTTTGACGTATATGGACAACTGAACAATCGGTAGAGCTCATTATTCTGAACATTATGCTCCTTTCAGATTTTCTCTATTTATTACGGTTCATAAAATGATAGACAAAACTTGCATTTTACCCCCTATGTTCTATTTTTAGCCATGTTGGTTGGTTGGTAGGCGGGGTCATCGGACACGTTTTTTAAACTAGATACCCTAATGATGATTGTGGCCAAGTTTGGTTAAATTTGTCTCAGTAGTTTCAGAAGAGAAGATTTTTGTAAAAGATTACAAAAATTTGTTAAAAATTGACTATAAAGGGCAATAACTCCTTAAGGGGTCAATTGACCATTTTGGTCACTTATTTGTAGATCTTGCTTTGCAGAACATTATTGCTGTTTACAGTTTATCTCTATCTATAATAATATTGAAGATAATAACCAAAAAACTGCAAAATTTTCTTAAAATTACCAATTCAGGGGTAGCAACCCAACAACGGGTTGTCTGATTTGTCTGAAAATTTCAGGGCAGATAGATCTTGACCTGATAATCAGTTTTACCCTATGTCAGATTTACTCTAAATGCTTTGGTTTCAGAGATATAAGCCAAAATCTACATTTGACCCCTATGTTCTATATTTAGCCATGACGGCCATCTTGGTTGGTTGGCGGGGTCATCGGACACATTTTTTAAACTAGATACCCTAATGATGATTGTGGCCAAGTTTGGTTAAATTTGGCACAGTGGTTTCAGAGGAGGAGATTTTTGTAAAAAGCTAACGACGACGGACGACAACGATGACGGACGCCAAGTGATGAGAAAAATGTGGTCAAGGACAATAGACATATTGTGAAAGACTGAAACTTTGTAACATAAGGTATTTGATACTAGGTATGAAGCATCCAGGTCTTCTAACCACTGAAATATAAAGCTTTATACAAATAGTTTACGCCATTGTGGCTGCTAGCAGATTGTAATCCCTATGTCTTGCATTCTGCTACTTTTGTAGCAGGCGAGACAAAAAAGAAACAACCTGAACCAAACTCACTAAATCTGTAACTTCTTATGATATGACTATATACTAAACTTAAATTGATTCAGGAATTACAGAGAAAAGTGTGGAAAAATAATATTTCCAAACTATTTCTATGCTCTTGGTCCAAGTACAACTTCTGCTAAAATTACTCAAATGGAACCAACTCAAACTTAATCTTATGCAAAGAACAGAGTTCAAATCTCCCCAGGTTGCAAGAGGTAAATGTATGGGAAAGCAAATGTCCAAAACTAAACTTGAACTAATCTGTAAAAGGTACATTTCCTAGTTAGGTTCTAAAACTAAGTCTTCAAAAAAATGGTTCTACACATCAATATCATTATGATAAAACATTAACTGAGAATAAGTTAACTTACAAGAAAAGTGGAATGATAATTAGTGGACTGATAACAAAAAACTGCATATCGTTGGCTAGATACCATGTCCATGCCATACACTACAATAAATAATGTATTAATATATATTAACGCTAACATTGGCTAGATACCATGTCCATGCCATACACTACAATAAACAATGTATTAATATATATTAACACTAACATTGGCTAGATACCATGTCCTTGCCATACACTACAATAAACAATGTATTAATATATATTAACACTAACATTGGCTAGATACCATGTCCATGCCATACACTACAATAAACAATGTATTAATATATATTAACACTAACATTGGCTTGATACCATGTCCTTGCCATACACTACAATAAACAATGTATTAATATATATTAACACTAACATTGGCTTGATACCATGTCCATGCCATACACTACAATAAACAATGTATTAATATATATTAACACTAACATTGGCCAGATACCATGTCCATGCCATACACTACAATAAACAAGATATTATGGTTTTTATTTATTTATTCTATTCAGGTCATACAATACAATAAACAAGTTATCATGGTATATAATAACTCTTACATTGGCTAGATATAATGTCCAAGCCATACACTACAATAAACCACCAAGTACCGTGTAAATGCGTTCATCCACATGATAAAAACATTGTCCTCATTCATATTGAATACATTGTTGATGCTGACAGATCTATCAAAATATAACGCTTTTAAAGGTCATCTAAAAATGTTCTTTTTCATTTTGGTGTAGACATTTTCTGACTAACATTTATTTAATACAGGTCAGTGAAAGGGTCAATCATCAATTCAATAGTAAAAATAAAAGAACAGAGTTCCAATGTCCCCCGCTTTGCACATATTTTATTTATCCAAGATACAAGGGCAATAACTCAAAAAAGCACTTTTTTTATTGTTCCTTAAAACTTTTTATAAATATCTTAGTGAAATGAAGGCTTCAGAGCAAATTCAATGTGATTTCCGTTGAAATTAATATTTCCAAGGGGCATAACTCGTTAAAAATATTTGATCAGCACTTATTTTTGAAAATGTCTAAGACATTGCTGATATAAGCCTATGGTATAAGTTTCATAAAATTCTGGCTAGAATTGTACAAATGAGGGCGCTAACAATGCAATTTTCCATATAATCAATATTTCCAAGGGGCATAAGTCTTAAAAATGATTGATCGACACTGATTTTTGAACTCGTCAAAGAAATTGCAGATATAAACCTATGATATAAGTTTCATAAAAATCTGGCAAGAATAGTACACATGAGAACTCTAATGACGCAATTTTCCATATAATTAATGTTTCCAGGGGCATAACTCTTGTAAAAAATTTTGATCAGCACTGATTTTCGAACTTGTCCAAGACATTTTATTTTCGTCTGTTTAATCCCCACGGTTCGGCAGTTCCCAATTTGTGAATTATGTTTTCTTCCGTACGCAATCGAATGTTAATGTTGTTTTTCATTGTTACTATACCCTTAATTGTGATGTTTCCCCTATTGTGATGTTCCGATGTGAAGTGTTGTGATACAGGTTTATGTTGGTTTTGTACATAAATGTCATTGAAATGGCCCCTAAATCTCTTCTCTTTTAAGCTATTGCCTATTTGTCCAACGTACTGGTTTTTACATTTTGTACATTCTATAAGGTAAACCACATTAATGGTTTCACATGTGATTTCATCCCTAATTTTAATAGTGTATTGGTTTGACGTGTTTTTAATGCTACCTGTAGGGCCAAAAATAAAATATTGTTTGTTTCCCATCCCATGACCGACCCGGTAAAATCACTGCGACCTGAAAAATTTTATTGGCCGTTCGTGTCCAATATTTTTTTTATTTTGGTTTTTGGTGATACCTTTCCGATGCTGTAGTCCACAAGCGTTTTAATTCAAGGCATTTTTGCATTGAAGCGTCTAAATGATTCGTAATCGAGAAAAAACAAACAAAATGGCTGGTCACACGATTTGTGTGTCTGCAAGGGTGATCAATGACCATAATTTAGTAAAGAATATCGTTAGTAATAAAATTTTGAAGATAAGCCCCAAATTAATGATCAGTGAAATCATGGACGAAGCAATCGGAAATGCTGAGGTTGATGGTCCTATAGAAAATATTGAATGATATATATATAAATCTGTAATTAATAAGAAAATATGCCTTGGCATTAGATAAAAATTCTCTGAAACTGAACAATACAATCCAATCAATCTGCGGAAAAACAATTCAATGATGTGGTATCTTTAATAAAAAAAACTGAAGCATCTTTCAACCCACTGAGTGCATCTTGATTTGCTTGGTCTTTAACCTCTGTTCCTGTATGAAGGATAAAATCTTTGAGTAAATATGGTCTGAATCATGCTTTAAAATCTATCTACTTTGAATTTTGTACAAATTCAATATAGAAAACCATATCAAGGAATAAAATAAAATAATTTGCCTACCTACCTACCCCTACCCTGAAAACCTCAGTCAGGAAGGGGAAACACAGATATTTTTAATGTTGGCCTAGGTTTCATGAATTTACATAAGTAGCACTGTTTACAGCATGAACGGGTTCCTGGATTCTTATTCCTGTTGGTGATGTCGCTATGTACTAGAATACTTCTTAAGGTTATTGATCGGCGATAAGTTGTTACAAATTTAGCCTGTGCTAATCTTTGGGTGTCAGGTGTTCTTGTAAGTATGTCTTTCCTGTGATTCAAGATCCTATTAATATTTTTGGTATTACTGTTAAAAAATATCACTCAGGGTATGTTCGGGTTAGTGTTTTTTCAACCAGTTCTAATAAAGTGGTTCTATTTTTCTGTTAAGTTTTTTCGATTGCATGAGTTACTACGTCTGGGGGGTATCCCCGTATTATAAAGTTTTTTACGTAAATTTTCCCAAAGTGCATTAAATTCTTCATTCTTGCTGCAGATTCATCTTATTCGTAAGGCTTGGCTATACGGTATACTTTCTGTTTGATGTTTTGGGTAGTTTAATGAATAATGTAGGTAAAGATTTGCATCCGTAGGTTTTTTGTAAAGGGTAGTTGTTAGGTTTCCGTTGTCATCTAAATTTACAATGGTGTCTAGAAAATTTACACTCCTGTTGTTTATGGTGAAGGTGAACTTTATAGAGTGGTGGAAAGAATTTAGGGCCGTAATGAAGGATTGTAGTTCCTCGCTTGAATGGGACCATATTATAAAAATGTCGTCTATAAATCTCCACCATACTAATGGTTTTTTGTGTTGTGTATTTAAGAAATTCTCTTTCAATTTTGTCCATAAAAATAATGGCATATTCTGGAGACATGACAGTTCCCATAGAAGTGCCCATTTTTTGCATGTAATATTTGTCATTAAATCTGAAACAGTTTTCTGTGAGAATAAAATGAATGAATAGTAATAAAATCCAAGTGGGCGAGTCCTTGTTTTCCCTTTTCTCTTATCATTTCCTTTGTTGCAAGTATTCCTTCTCGATGTGGTTTATTTGTATATAGTGAGGTTACGTCTGCTGTGACTAGTATGCTCTGTGGATATACTTTGTTTAGAGCTTTCAATTTCTGTAAAAAATCTGTGGTATCCTTTAGATATGAGGGTATGTAAGGAATGAACGGTTTTAGGAAGATGTCTACATCTTTTGACATTAATGATTGGTCTACCTGGGTTTCCTGGTTTGTGTATTTTTGGTAAAATGTAAAAGATCGGAGTGCGCCAATGTTTTTGTAATAAGTATTGTGCTAAGTTTACAGGAAGTAAGTGATTGAACAAATTCTTTAATTTTCTTTGATATTTTTTCGTTTAGGTTGGATTGTATTTATTCATAAAACATTTGATTGTTTACTTGTCTGTTTACTTCTTTAATGTAATCGGCACGGTTCATTATAACAATTGCTCCTCCTTTGTCTGCTGGTTTTTTTATAATATCTTTGTCATCTTTTAGATCCCTTAAAGCCATGAGTTCGTCTTTTGTCAGGTTCCTATATTGTTTGCGCTTTTTACTCATAAACTACAACTTCCTGTGGTTTTTAAATACTCACCTGTGAACCTGTGTCTTTAAGATTGACAAAGTTGTTTATATAAAGGAAATTGTAGTACCAAGCATCCTTACAATAGTTGACTTCCATTCCATCTTTTTTCCAAAGAGGACCACTTCCAATGTAAGGAAATAATGACACATATACCATCAAGACTAACATATATGGTGGAGTTAATCTGTAACAGAATTAGCCTGATTGCATTAAATATTGAAATAAAGATTAACATATATAGTGGAGTTAATTTGTAACAGAACAATAGTGCAATTTATCACTGTATGAAATATTGTACAAAAATATTTACAAGACTTTTTCCTCCAAATATTGAAAAATTTAGAGTATTAATCACCCCACACACACAAACATTAAAGATCAATCTTATTTTGCTTTCCTTAAAACAAAATAGTTCCTCATAATAAAGATGTGCATAAAGTTTCAAATTGTTGTAACCACAACTTCATGGTAAACTGCCTTAAATCAAAGCCTTAACCCAATACCTTTCTGATGTACAGACAGATGGAAAGACTTATATGGTTGGGCTCACAGAGAGGAACATTTATTGCCTCCAACTGTTGTTAGTTTCTTCACCTGTTACCAATTTTTTTACCTTTTTTCCATTTGACCTCTCATTTGTTTTCGTGTTTCCAAACTTTTGGTCTTGACTAACCTGAACATTGATCCAAATGAATTTTGATGTCATTGAAAGTATTATTTACTTTATAATCCATTTGAAGTGGCTGCAACAATAACCTTTTAATTCTTTTTATCATTTTTTTACAATGGTGTACAGTACTTTCCGAGATTAGCTAATTGACTATGATTTCAAAATACATGTTCCATTAACTTCATAAAATATTTTCTTTTGTTTCTGTATATTTGAGGTGCATTCTGACCAAAATTAAGACACTGAAAATTGAAATTATAGAAAATTAACAATGTAAGAGTTGCTACTCTTTTGCATTGGTCAAGTACAAGACAGAGATCTGTTAAGTCTAAAGAGGATCCAAGCTTGCAGTAATATGTGACCCGCCATGACATTTCCAGGCTGATGGAGATAAATGTCATTATGATAAAACGTTGATGTTAAGTCACGTAAAGTAATCGGGGCATTTGTTATTGAATGTCCAATTGTATCATGCGGTAGTATAAAGTTTCATTTTTTCATGACTTGAGGAAATTTGAATTTTTATATTAAGATATACAAAACAAGTAGATCTTTTACGTAAAATTAATGATTTAGGTTAAAATCTTGTTTAGAATCGCATTCTAAATTCACACAATATATCTTTGAGATTTAATTGCATAAATCACTTTCTACTGAATCATACTACGTTTTCGATTATAATAAATGGTTAAAATTATGTCACCATTGCGATATATCATTTATTAAAATAAAGTACCGAAAAATTAAAACTTTCCCGAAATAGATTGCAGCATGAACACCAAGTTTTTGGAGTAAATCTCATTGTTTCACATTGTAAAGGAAAATATGAACATACATGAATGGCCATACACCGATACATGTAAATCTAGTAAGGTATACCTGCCCATTAGGACCCCAATGGTTTCTCATTTCATGTATGTTCCTAGTTGTTTTTTTTCTTTCTATGACTGTCTTAGAACTAAATAAATCAGATGTATGGGTTGTTGAAAGTTTTATTGCATCCCTTTCACCTACATGCCTTCATATTATTGATTATGCTGTTTGATTTTTCATCTTACTCTGCATTAATATAGCTTTGATTTAATCACTGTGTCAGGACATGTACAATATGTATTCACAATAAGATCATGGTATTCGCTTTCTTAGCATTGATGTAGTTTTCCTTACAAAAAAAAAAAATGTTTAGGTCACTATGAATTTGATTGCATATTCCGGTACATTGTTGCTATGGCAACCGAATTAAAATCTTCAGTTATTTGGTTACTAAAGCTACAATTGCAATTTGATTACTTAAAAAAAGACGTGACCCCCCCCCCCCCCCCAAAAAAAAAAAAGCATTTATAAAATTAAAGCTTACAAAAATGACCATAATTTTGTTATTTTGAAGAATCTAGCAAAATAACTTGTCAGGGTGTTTGAATCTATGTATACTTCATAAAAATGCAAAAAAACTCGTTTTGACCCTGATACCTCCATAAGCCTGAAAATCTTATGGCTGGTCACATATAACTAATGAGTGTTCTAATGGTAAATGATGACTTTGGAACAATTTCCTCTGGTTGCAGATCACAGTTTACCCATAATTCATTATAAACATTGACACAGAGATATGTCTCGCCTTTTTGTAATTTTGGTAGTATAATGCAAATATTTAATCCAAATGGTAATACTTAAACATGTAAACTATGCAAAACATTCAAAGTCAATGAATCATGACTTAATATGCAGGGCCGGTGTATGGGAAAAAAGTCATCGACTCAACATTAGTGGTTCCTCTTAAACTGATCTAATAAAAAACTTTAACATGTAAACAATGCATCACATTCAAAGTCAATAGACCATAACTGAGGGCACGGCGCCAAATCATCTCCTTTGAAATGAGATGTGCCAATGCTAATGCATCTACATACCAAATACCATTTACCTACAACTAGTCGTACCAAACAAACTCACCTAATTACAAATTTATACATGTAAAGTAAGCAAAAGTTTCAAAGTCAATAGACCATGACTGAGGGGGTGGGGCCAAATAAAATCCATGGAAATGAGATGTGCCAATGCTAATACAATTGCATACCAAATATCATTGACCTTCCACTAGTGATTCCTATTAAACTGACCTAATCACAAACTAATACATTGTTGATGCCGTTGCCATTGCCGTCGTTGGGAAACAGCATACCTAAGTCCTGCTTTTTGACTCTGTCAAGGCTAGACAAAAACTATTGCTAAATTTCAAAATATTTCCTTGAATGACCTTCTGCATAGGTGATGAATAATGGCATCCATTGTTCAAGCATTTTACAGCAAATTATGCCTGCCAGTTTCAATGAATCCTTGAGGTCAAGAAATTGGACAAAAAATTGTCAATATTGAAATATTTTCCTTGGAATAGCTAATTTTTGGGAATCACAAAAAAAAAACTCAATTCTAGTGAACATTTAAAAAATTGATAGAACATACCTCCAGAATCTATGGAAATAAAACATAAACCAATTTATCTTCCCATCTTTTCTCTTCAGCTCCTTCATTATTAAGTAAGTTAACAAGAGCCCACTGTAATAAAAAAAAAGCAATGCATTTTCTACATGATGTTAGTACCAGAAACAATATAATGTAATAATCCAATAACAATATTGTAAACCCCATAATTTCATTTTGATGATTTGAAGACTAAATCTACTTTTTAACTGTACAGGTTTTAATTTGAAATTTCCCAGTGTCCTGAATAAATTTTTATTAATGACACAAGAATTGTACGTTTTCTCATTCATTGTTTATTGATGAACAGGCATGTCTTTTAGTAGTTATATGTATGACATGAAAATTGATTAATAACCTGCTTGTCTGAATTAAGTGAACAGTTTTCATCTTTTCATAAACATAAGCTATAAAGTAATAAGCAGTGTCTGTAACATGGCTGTGTGGAAAAATGTATGAATACTCGATTAAAACTTCAACAATAAAGTTTCTGAAAAGGATATCCTGAGGAGGTTGCCAAATTTCACTAAAAAGAACAAGCGTGAACATACTGGAATGTCTCGTCTGCTATACTGACAAATTTCATTTTCCTTTAAGAACATTTTAGTAAATTTTAAAAATATACAATAATTCAATGCATATGCCTGCAATTTTAGAAGTGACTTCTAGTAATCATTCATTTGTTATTACATCCCTATGTATAGTCTTTACATCAAAGAACTGCCCTCTTCACAATAAACTATTGTATAAATATTTCTTTTACTTGATATGGAGGATATGTAAAAGTTACCAATAAACTGTAGATTCGTTTATTTTCATGGGTACAAATTTTTGTGGATTGAGGGAAAATTGTATTTTTGTGGATATTTAATTTTATAGTTTTGCCAAAGTCTACATACAAGCCTATATAAAATTTTATACTTCTTTGAAAATCTATATCCATGGTAAACCTTTATCCATGAAATCCACAAAAAAATTGTATCCCACTTATAATAATGAATCCACAAAAAATTTGTATCCCATTTATAATAATGAATCCACAAAAAATTTGTATCCCATTTATAATAATGAATCCACAAAAAAAATTGTTTCCCATTTATAATAATGAATCCACAGTACAATATTTACCTGAGAGTGAAAAATGTATCAACAGACACTAAGGCATTCAGTATTGCTCCAAAAGACCATCTCTTAAACATCAGTATAGTAAATGGAAGCATGTTATCTACAATTATCATATTGTTTTGTACAATATTATACAGAATATATGTTAGGTTGTCTTTTAATCACTGAAGACATCAACCTTCATCACTTATGGGCATACGATACAGTTACAGGGGAGGTAATGACATTGCTAACATAAAATATTATTTTCTCGATGTCAAACTGTGACATATCGGGAAAAGATGCATTTTTCTACTGATTTCTATCATTCAGATTCATTTAACTTGAAAACGAGTTCATGGACCCCTCTTTTATAAAATGACATTAGGTTTGACTACGTATGAAGATTATTGGTACCAATTTTTATGAAAAATTCACTGATGAAATTTTTAAAAATTAGATAAATATACAGCAAAAAATGTGTTTTTTTTTTTCTAAAATCGTGAAAATTTGATAAAAATTAATTATTTCCAAAGAATTGTTATACAAATTTAGAGCAAACTTATGTAAAGAAGATTTTCAAAATGTTTTTACAAGCATCCGCTTGTGTTTATCTTTTGAAACAAAAAATTCGGTCTGTCTATCCAAAGGATAGAAATTAAAAGAAAAAACAAAATTTTGAGTAAATGTCTAATATTTTGACCCCATTTATGTCTAAAAGTAGCACATGAAGGTATATTTTTTTTTTAATTACATATTTGAATTGACGAGGTGAAAAATAGCTTGTGTGCAAATTTTCGTAAAAAAATCCCCATGGGATCAAAACTGTATCATATGCCCTTAAATCAACTAAAAAAATGTTCCAGATTTTATTTGTCAACAGATAGTATTATTTCTCTCTCATTTCTAAACAAAATTCTTTTAAGATAACAATAGCTTTGATTGATTAAAATGAGTGCCATAAATTATCAACAGTGGATATTGCTACTACAAAAAAAACAATCTTTCTTTTATACATGCTAGCATATAACATTGAGTAACTGCAGAATAGCAGCACTGTACAGAAATACTGTCAACTTTTAAATATATTAAATACTTGAGTGTTAACATTATCTGAGATTTAATAATGTATAAGTTGTTACAAGAGAGATGCAAAGTGGAAAAGTTCTAAAATACATGCAGGTTTTTGTTCTAAAAAACATTTGTTATCAAACAGACAGAATTATGACCCTCTAAAGAGTTATAATAATGCATACCAGAAATTGATGTAAAAATTCCATAGGTATGTCCCAAAATGACCCATGACATACTAATGAATCTAATTCCATTCACTGCATTCAAACTTCCAGCTGATTGATCAGTACTCAAAATTTTAGCACCATTTGTATAAATGGAGAATGAAAGTAAGAGTTTTCCAAGTAAACCTATAAGATAAATAACAATATCAATGCATACCTGCAAGAGGAGATAAAAATACGTAGGTATGTCCTAATATCACCCATGACATGCTAATAAAGCGTATTCCATTCACTGAAGTTAAGCTGCCAGCTGATTGGTTGGTACTCAAAATCTTTGCTCCATTTGTGTATACAGAAAAGGATAAAAGGATTTTTCCAATTTTTCCTGTTCAAAATATAAGTAATGTGTCCTGTTTTACTTCTCACACCAAAAAGTTATTTTTTTTCAATAAAGGATGTAACAATGACAAAAGAGTGGCAGAAGATACCTAAGGGATATTCAAACTCATAAGCTGAAAATGAACCGACAATGTCATGGCTAAAATGTGCTTTCTCCTTTTATCTTTTCTGTTAAAAGTAATTTTCCTTTTAATCACAAACTTACTATTAAGAAATGAAAAGTATTTACCAGGTTTGTATTCCAGTGTCGTTTTATCTCTAATCAATGGCGTGTCTTCTTCTGCTGTTATTTTATATTGATAGTTTTCTGTAACTTCCCCATTTAGTAAGCCAGCCATTGTCTGGACCTTTGACTTTGGCCATTGTATGTAAAGAACATCATACACAGTACCAATTACCATAACTGTTATGAACAGTGACACTATCACTCTGTAATATTTCATAATATGACCATTAACATATAAACTTTTGGTTCCTCCTGTCCAAGGAACAGTTTTAGTGAGCATAAACTTTGTTTAAACTGGTGAACAAAAACTAAAATATAAACTAGTAATGTACATGTATGATACCAACTTCTGACACAAAGGCTCTGAAATAGCTTTCACCAGGTTTCTATTTAACCACATGTTTAAGAAGCTAAAAACATGAGCTTCAATACCCAAATAAACTGCTTTGCCGAGCGCAGCTGGATATGACGGCAGAGGTCCAACCCTGAACAGTTGGGGCAAAAATGGACACAATATTCAAGCTTGATACAGGTCTGAACTTGGATTGTAATTAAATATTTGACACATTATAGGTTTCTGACACAGAATAAATTTAGTCAAAGAACTTGAAATTGGTTGTATGATTTGAATTTATATTCAATTGAAGATTTCTTGCTGATATGAAATACACTGTGCTGTTGTGCAATACTTAGTAAATCTGTTTTCAGACTATATACAAAGAATTAGCAAAATAAATTGTGACCCCCAATTTTTTCTTTGGAAAATTGACAATTTCTTTAATCTTGGGCGGAAAAAAATTGACCCCCCCTTCCAAAAAAATTAATTTTGAATAAATTTTCTTTTTGTAAAATGTGGTACAAATTAAGAGACATCCATACACTTAAACACAAGTTATTGTCTGAAAACTAGAAAAATGCTTGTTTAAGACCCTTTTTGGCCCCTAATTCCTGAACGGTTTGAGCAATCAAAATACTTATACACAAGTTATTGTCCTGAAACTAGAAAAATGCTTGTTTTGGCCCCTAATTCCTAAACGGTTGGGACCATCACCCCCAAAAACAATCCCAACCTTCCTTTTTGTGGTATTGAACCTTTTGGTTAAATTTCATAGAGATCCATACACTTAAACTAAAGTTATTGTCCGGAAACCAAATATCTTCGGACGATGCCGACAACGACAAATAAAATTTTGCGGTCGTATAAAAAGACCTTAACAGAGTATAAATGGGACATATTGAAGATAGAGGGTTAATATCTTACTCAAATAATAGAAAAGATAAAGAAGAAGGTATGATAAGGCCACTTTTTTGGGTTCTTTGAATTTAAACTTCGAAAAGTATCATAAATCTACCAAATAACATCCTTCACATAATGTTCAAAAGACATTAATCCGTCTAAAATCAGTATTTTTATTTTTTTATTTTGTGCTACATGGTTGCAAGATTGCTTAAAACTTTTGACATTTTGTGCAAAACAGTCTCAATTTAGTATTATGTCATTAATATTTAGATATGAGCAACTTACCCAAAGATATTTTCTACAAAATGCATTTTACTTAAATTTTTATCATTGTAAAATATCTTTTTGGTAAAAGCTGTTGCTCATATATCATGTTTATATTTTAACCAAAAACTGTGTGCAAAATGGCAATTTTTGGACAAATATGTAAATTTCAAAATGTTTATTTCCTTGTGACATTAAAAGTGACCTTTATGCAATTAACTGTCCAGATTATATTAAGCTGAACATTTATCAAAAAAATTGACATCATTTTGAAAGGCTTGGACAAGTTTTCTATTTTTGCTATTTCAGAGGCAATAAAATGGCTCTTATCATAAGGCCTCCTTCTTTCCTTTCAATTTAAGGTGGTAATGAGAGTTCAAAAATCTGGTCTGACATATGACAATATAGAATGAGGTCTATGTGATGTGAATGGTAGTAAAAATGGGCTGTATAAGCTATTATACTGGTTATTGGTTGTACAATACTCACATTACAACAGTTGCTCTAGTATCAAACTCTCTGTCTGGATTTTGGCACTGAACTGATGCAGCCAGCATAGTATTATTGGGAATTTTTGACAGCACTGAAATATTTCCAAAAAATATTTAGGTGAGCAAGCGCACATACCCAATGCTCCTTATATAAAGGGTAAAAGCTAATAGTGACCTGATGGCATTGTTTATTCTGTTACTTTTAGGTATAATTTTTTTCTGTTTACTTTTAGATATGATTCTTTCCTGTTAACTTTTAGGTATGCTTTTTTTGTTTACTTTTAGGTATGATTCTTTCCTGTTTTACTTTTAGGTATGCTTTTTTTCTGTTTACTCCCAGGTATAATTCTTTCCTGTTTACATTTAGGTATGATTCTATCCTGTTTACTCCCAGGTATTGATTCTATCCTGTTTACTCCCAGGTATGATTCTTTCCTGTTTACATTTAGGTATGATTCTTTCCTGTTTACTTTAAGGTATGATACTTTCCTGTTTACTTTTAGGTATGATACTTTCCTGTTTACTTTAAGGTATGATTCTTTCCTGTTTTCTTTTTGGTATGGTTCTTTCTATTTACTTTTAGGTATGGTTCTTTTCTGTTTACTTTTAGGTATGATTCTTTTCTTTTTACTTTTAGGTATGGTTCTTTTCTATTTACTTTTATGTATGGTTCTTTTCTGTTTACTTTTAGGTATGATTCTTTCCTGTTTACTTTTAGGTATGATACTTTCCTGTTTACTTTTAGGTATGGTTCTTTTCTATTTACTTTTAGGTATGATTCTTTTCTGTTTACTTTTAGGTATGATTCTTTCCTGTTTTCTTTTTGGTATGGTTCTTTTCTATTTACTTTTAGGTATGATTCTTTCCTGTTTACTTTTAGGTATGATTCTTTCCTGTTTTCTTTTTGGTATGGTTCTTTTCTATTTACTTTAAGGTATGGTTCTTTTCTGTTTACTTTTAGGTATGATTCTTTCCTGTTTTCTTTTTGGTATGGTTCTTTTCTATTTACTTTTAGGTATGATTCTTTCCTGTTTACTTTTAGGTATGATACTTTCCTGTTTACTTTCAGGTATGATTCTTTCCTGTTTTCTTTTTGGTATGTTTTTTTTTCTGTTTACTTTTAGGTATGATACTTTTCTGTTTACTCTTAGGTATGGTTCTTTTCTATTTACTTTTAGGTATGGTTCTTTTCTGTTTACTTTTAGGTATGATTCTTTTCTGTTTACTTTTAGGTATGGTTCTTTTCTATTATGATTTCAGACAGTATTCAGTAATATCTTGAAATAAACTGTTGATACAAAGATATGTCTCGCCTGTCTGCAGAAAATTTGAAAAAAGACAATCTGGTGGACAGCAACATTCCAACAATTTTAAACTAAGTCCCTGGACCATGAACTAGGGGCAGGGCCTTGAAATAGTCATTAAACTGATTTGTACTGATAGTAATGTAACTTTATAGAAAATATCATTGATCTATGACAAGTGGTTCCTATCAAACTGACTTAACCAGAGAAGTTAACATTGAAATTGCTAATTAATTCAAAGTCACTGGACCATGACCTAGGGGACAGGACCTCGAAATAGTTGTCAAACTGATATGTACTGATAGTAATGCAACTTTATATAAATATCATTGATTTATCATAAGAAGTTCCAATCAAACTGACTTTAGCAGAAAACTTAACAATTGCTGATGCATCCTCCTCCGCAATAGCATCCGTCGCTACCAAAACAATACCTTTGTCTTGCTTATAGCAACTTTCCTTATAGGCGATACAAAAAATGAAAGCCCTATCCTGGTGACAAGAATTAAAATTACACAAAATTTGTATTAACTGTAAACCTGACATTTGATGTAAAGAGCTAAAAATCACTAGGGATCTCTCCATCCCCTTATATTTAACCATATATTCAAGTTTTGTTCCAATCCTATATGAGATCCTTGAGTCATCATTAAGAGACCCCTTTTCTGCACTTTTATCAGTTTATTTTTAGGTAACTATCACCTTATCTTATTGACCTAGGAAATAAAAGAGATTTCTCCCTCATTATTTACAGGTTTGGTTTGAATCTAATGAATTATAAAAAAAACTTATCTGGAAACTCCTTTCCTGAACAAATTTCAATTTTTTGTATCTTTGACATTGACCTTTTTCTTTGTCGACCTTTAGTCTTAGAGAGAAGGTATTTATTTTTTTATAAGTTGTAATTGGCATGAACTATATTCAGTAACTGTGATAACATTTAGATTGGTACTATGGGTCTTTTGTCTTTTATATGTTAGTTGTTTTTTGTGCTTCACACTAATCTGATCAAGTCGAGCCATTTCTAACTGATTCTTCCACTTTGATCTTATGTTGTGCTGTTACAACATTGTCCCAGGTTAGTTGGAGGGTTGAGCGCTCACAAACATGGTATACCCAGCCATATCCTATATCATGCCTGTCCAAGTCAGGAGTCTGTAATTTAGTGGCTATCATTGGTTGCTGTCTGTTTATTTATTTTTTTTTATTAGTTGTTTACAATTTCGTCATGTCAGGGCCTTTCCAAGCCGACAAACAGTATGAGTTTTGCTCATTGTTGAAGATTAGATGGTGCTTAAATCCATGTCATTTGGACTATGTTGGAATAGTTGTCTCATTGGCAATCCTACCACATCTCTTTATAGTATATCAAATAAATAGGGATCATCCTCACATTATATCTGTCAATGATATCTGATATAAAGTATATGATTTAGCATCTGGAAACCAAAATGACTGATGGACTAACAGACACAGTGACAGAAAGGCAGGTCAAAAACTATAAACCCCTGCTTCTTCAAAACATGGGGTACTACCATCTGTAAACAGAAAAATTCTCTACATATTTCCCAGTTCCAAATTTTTTTAACAAATGTATTTCTGGGTTTTTTTAAGGAATGACCTTATGACATCTGTTATTGACAAACAATAGTCAGTTGGCTGTTTCTTATATGATTCATGTATCTTGTGAAAAAATATGAATTTGCAAAAGATTCTTGATTTGAATAATTTCCTTCATCAATGAAAAGCTAAAAAAATGGTTAGCCAATTCAAATCTGATTTTTCAAGTATTTAACTTATCTAAAGTTTTTATAGAAGAATTATCCAGAGGTCACAGTAATTATGTAGTATTTGAGATACTTCATCCACACCCCCCCCAGTAAAAGGTTCCTTATTTTTACTTTTTTAATTCTCCAATAATGATCTTACTTAAATTTTGAAGAGTGTAAAACATGAAATAAAAATGCTCCCGTGTGGACACAAATAATCATGTGACTTTAAAACAAGTCTTTATCCCAAATATGGTTCCCAAATTCCTATTCTCTTTCATATTTTCCACTGACCTGAAGTGCTTGAATGATAATGCAACACCATACCATTTATCAATTGTTTTTCATAAATACTTCTACATAAACACAACTAATCAATAAACCTAAAGTCCCCTTACACTTCGTCTGTAGGGGACTAAAAACTTAACATATGAATTACATACAAGAGACTCATGAGAGCCTGATATCGTTCACATGCAATTTCAGTTTCAGACATTTGACTTATTTGTAGATCTTACTTTGCTGAACAATTTTGTCATTTACACTTTCTCTCTTTCTATAATAATATTAAAGATAATACATAACCCAAAACTGTAAAATTTCCTAAAAATTACTTAATTCTGGACAGTAATCCAACAATAAGTTGTACTTTTGGTCTGAAGATTATTTGACAGGTAGATCTAAATCTGTTTAACACTTTCACCTATGTCAGTTTTGCTCTTACTACTTTAGTTTTTGAGATGAAAGCCAAAAACTTCATTTTACCCCTATGTTCTATTTTTAAAAACTGCCGTCATGTTTTTTAATGGATCAAAATCTGAATATAATCTATAAAAAGATACCCTAAGGTACATTCAATCAAAGTTGTTAAGTATTTGGCCAAGTAGTTTCAGAGAAGAAAATTTTTGAATAAGTAATAAGACTTTCACAAAAAATGTAAAAAAAAACATTTTAAGGGCAATAACTCCTTAAGGGGTCAATTGACTATTTTGATCATGTTGACTGATTTGTAGATCTTACTTAGCTGAACATTTATTGCCATTTATACTTTCTCTCTATCTTTTATAATATTCAAGAAAATAATTTCCAACAGTAACCCTACAATTGGTTGTCGAACTTGTCTGAAAATTTCATAACAGATAGATCATGACCCATTTATCACTTTAACTTCCTTTCACTTTTGCTCTAACTGCTGTAGTTTTTGAGATATAAGCCAAAAACTGGTTTTGTCCCCTATGTTTTATTTTTAGCCATGGCAGCCATGTTTATTGATGGATCAAAACTTCAGATACAATTTATAAACTATATACCCTAAGGAACATTCATTAAAAGTTTGGAAGTATTTGGCCCAATAGTTTCAGAGAAGATTTTTGAAAAAGTAATAGACTTGCATGAAAAAATGTAAAAAAATAAACGTTTCAAGGGCAATAACTCCTTAAGAAGTCAATTGACTATTTTGATCATATGACTTATTTGAGGGTCCTACTTAACTGAACATTTTTGCCATTTACACTTTCTCTCTATCTATTATAATATTAAAGATAATAACCAAAAACAGTAAAATTTCATAAAAAAATAAACTATTTCAGACAGTAACCCTACAATGGGTGGTCCAATTGGTCTGAAAATTTTATAGAAGATAAATCTTGACTTATTCATCACTTTAACTCCGTCACTTTTGCTCTAACTGCTATAGCTTTTGAGATAAAAGCCAAAAACTGCATTTGACCCCTATGTTCTATTTTTAGCCATGGCGACCATGTTTGTTAATGGATCAAAACTTCGGATACAATTTATAAACCAGTTACCCTAAGGAACATTCAATTAAAGGTTACAAGTATTAGGCCAAGTAGTTTCAGAGGAGAAGATTTTTAAATGTTAGCAAACATGATGAACAAATTGTGTAAAATTGTCTTTAAAGGGCAATAACTCCTTAAGGGGTCAATTGACAATTTTGGTCTTATAAACTTTTTTGTAGATCTTACTTTGCTGAACATTTTTGCTGTTTACAGTTTATCTTTATCTTCAATAATATTCAAGATAATAAACAAAAACTGCAAAATTTCCTTAAAATTACCAATTTAGTGGCAGCAACCCAACAATGGGTTGTTCGGTTCGTCTGAAAATTTCAGAGCTGCTAGATCTTGACCTATTGAACATTTTTACCCAATGCCGGATTTGCTCTTAATGCTTTAGTTTTTGAGATATAAGCCAAAAACTGCATTTGACCCCTATATTCTATTTTTAGCCATGGCGGCCATGTTTGATGATGCGATCATGGATCAAATCTTCAGATACAATTTAGAAACTAGATACCCTAAGAAACATTCAGTTAAAGTTTGAAGGTATTTTGCCCAGTAGTTTCAGAGGAGAAGATTCTTGAAATAGTTTACGACGACGACGACAGACCACGACGGACGCCAAGTGATGGCATAAGCTCACATGGGGACCTTCGGGGCCGGGTGAGGTAAAAAAAATCATTATGTGGGTAGTCTTGTATCCTTTCCAAAACTGAAATGCATAAATGCTAATACAACAACTTAGTTTTGAAGTCATTATTGTATGGGTGATGAGGCAGGGGCTCAAATACTGCATGCATTTGTGATGCTGGGATGCTGATGCAGCTGTATACCAAATATCAATAGTTTATTATAGGAACATATTCTGATATGCATCCAACCAGAAAACATGTGAACATTGCCCTGGCTGGAAATCTAACACCTATATCTGTGGCTCCAACATTGTCAAATCTGACCTGGTGAAATCAGAAGTGGGACCTTTAGGGGTGTGGTGAGCTAACTTGTGACCTGACGTATTATTTAAAAGGACCTGTGACCTGACCGTATTAAAGAAGTAGGATTTATTGACCAATGTCACAAGGAATCATAGCTAATATAATGACTAGATTGGAAAAACGTTTTTTTTGTTGAAAATTTATGTTTTTGCGTTCTATTTCATGACGTCACAAATAGCACTCATTTTGATTTTCTGCGAAAATTCGATGAAAATGGTAAATTTACACTGATTTTTTTAAGAGGAATCATAGAGCGCATGCGTCAACAACAAATAAATTTAAACCTAATGTTTGTTATGACATTTTACATATCTGACTTGAATATTTTGTTTGTTGACGCCTGCGCTCTATGTTTCCTAGGTCTTAATTTGGTTGGAATCTGGACGATTTTGTTGTAACTTATGCAGAGTATAAGTGTTGTTTATTCAGACGGGATGGTTTCTTCCATGAGATGGGGCAGTCGATTCCATTATAAGGTCAAAGGTCATGCCTAATTTGGTCTGTCTGATATCAAGGATTAGGTTCTCAGATTACAATTGCAGGCTGCCAGCTTCTCACTTTTGATTTTGCTGTTGAATACAAAGGACGTTTACTCAATAGGAATAAGTTTTCAATTTCATTTTACAGTTTTACTAATTACACTGATTTTCTGCTGTTAAACTTGAGACTTTATTGTGGAAGATTGTCTGGACTGGAAATCGGATTTATATAACTTTATTTTCATTCTCCTGCCTTGGAGACACAAGGTATTTTACACGACTTTATTTCCTAAGTGTGATTACGATTATTCAGAAGAACTGTAGACAATTCTTTAAAACCTCATCGTAAATAAGTGATCTCGGACATAATATTCATTGCAGTTTAAATTCGTCTTTCCAATCACTTCTTGACATTCAATATTGGACTATTATTTCCCGAAATTTGAGAACTTGAATCAGTTTTATTAAACAGTTTCGTAATTTTACGGCTATAAAAACTTTAGTAAATAACATGGCTTCTTCAACCAGACGTAACCGTCGTTCAAGAAACAGACAACATCCATATAACAACGAAGAAAATGCAACACAAAGCTCGCAATGGGATATGGAAAATCCAGAAAATTGGACAGGTGCAAGATTTCGGGACGAATTACGGAAGTTAGGAATTAACATTCCAAAAAGCTGGTCTAAAACAGTACTTAAACAGCTGTATCTAGACAACAAGGAGCGCCTATGCACTGACGAAATTCGAGAAGGTGCAACCGTCGCAGCGGATGACCATAATAGGCAACCGAGAGAAGTACTTCAAGACCCGCCCACAGATGAAAGAAGTTCCGCCCCATCACCGCGCATGGATAGTGTAACCGGAAACGACGTACGTGCGGACTCCAATGTAAACAATATGGCCGCTTTGTTTACATCAACAATGGTTAACACGTTTACACAGTGTATGGCAAGCATGCAACCATCCGTTTCCAACATTAGACCAACCATGGATTCCTTCACCAAGACCTACGATCTAGCTAATTGGTACGAACAAAGAAACGCTTCTGATGTCCCGCTTATCCCAGTTTCTGGTACAACCCAAAGAACCGCCGCACATCTCAACTTCAGCTATAGTCCGTCGACAAGTGCCTTACCGTTTTCTCACCATAACAGTGCCGAAATGGATTCAACAAGAAATGGAGTGCGATCGGATTCTTTCACCAATGTTGATATTGTGTCGCCCAATATTCAAAGAAATATTATTGAGGGTAAGGACATTAATCTCACTTCATTGCTAATATCCAATTACGAAAACCCTCAAGCACACAGTATCACTGCTGATGAAATAAAAGTTAATCTATCAAGCAAGCCTGACCCCCGTCTTAACAGGAACCTGAATATACAAGATTTTATTCAGGCCTTTGGCAAATATAAGCGAATCATGTGTGTGTCATATCCCGAAAGACGTGAAGAGCTTGATGCATATGAAGCAGATTTGATTCAGATCCATAAATTTTATGGAGAAAAATTTTATACCTACCATAAGCTGTTCTCTGCAAAGGCAGCTACACTCCTAAGAGAGAAACACATCAAGGTTGATTGGAGTAAAAGAGACCGTGACATTCTTTCACTAGTTAGTGGGGGTATTAGAGTAAATGCATGCAACTTATGTCATCAAGTTGATCATGCCACAGAATTTTGTGCATTGCAGTGTTCTGATCATCAGGGTATACATGTAGATAGCAACTTAGGTTACAACAGGTCAGTTAGACCAAACATGCCAAACAAGCTTGATAAACAAGGTCGTAGTAGAGTATTTTACGACGGCAAAGAAGTATGTAACAATTATAATAATGTCAGGGGTTGTTTCAGAACAACATGCAACCTTCTTCACGCTTGCTCAACTTGTAGATCTACAGGTCACCCCGCACCTACATGTACAGGTAATAGACAAAACCATCACAATGTTCATGTTCCTCAAAAATATTCACAAACCTACAAAAATAACACTAGTAGCAAAGATGTTACTCAGACTAAACCTGATAACAAATCATGACTACATGTACATTTGGAAGATTATTCGATGAAAGCATCAACTCCTATCAACATAGAAAAACTTGAGCATGAGCTGCAGAATCATCCAGATATAAATTTCAGATCATATTTGATAAATGGATTAAGAAATGGTTTCGATTCTATGGTAAAATACGATACATGGGATACCAAAGTATGCAAAAATAATTACTCGGCTAGGTCGCAATCTACAGTTGTTTCAGATTTGATAAAGAAAGAATGTGAAAAAGGTTTTGTGTATGGGCCATTTCAACATAGTCCTTTTCCTCGTTTTAGAGTAAGCCCTCTAGGGGTAGCAACGGGGAAATATTCTGATAAGAAAAGATTAATTTTAGATTTGTCATCACCACACAATGATGAATGTATGAGTGTTAATGATATGATAGACAAAAGTGATTGTTCTATGTCTTATGTGAAAATAGATGATGCTATCCGCATCATTTCAAAATGTGGGAGAAAATCAAGTCTATCCAAGTACGACATATCCGATGCGTTTAAAATTTGTCCTTACAAACCTACGCAGTGGCCACTGTTTTGTTTTAAGTGGAAATCTATGTATTATTTTTATGTTAGGCTCACCTTTGGATGCCGATCCAGTCCTAAAATTTTTGACACTGTCTCCCAAGCAGTGTGTTATATTGCTGAGAAAAACTATAAGGTACAGCATATCCTGCATTTATTAGATGATTTCCTAACAATTGACCATCCCGACAAAGATGGAGAGAGGACAATGGCAATTATGATGACAATATTTAAACGGCTTAACATTCCCATTGCTAGTCATAAAACAGTTGGGCCTACTACTTGTTTAGAATATTTGGGTATCATACTAGACTCACAAAAAATGGAAACCAGATTACCTGATAATAAGGTGCAAAGAATATGCAATTTTATTCGCAAAATATTACACAAATCATCTTGTACAAAAAGAGAACTTTTACAGTTATTGGGACATTTAAATTTTGCTTCCAGGGTTATTTTACCTGGAAGGTCTTTTGTTTCTTATTTGATTAATTTGTCAACTACAGTTAAAGATTTGTCTGATTTTGTGCATTTAAGCACAGAATGTAGAACAGACTTGGATTTTTGGTTACGTTTTTTGTCAAACTGGAATGGCATTACTATGTTTCATGAAAATGAATTTACAAGTAGCTTTGATATGGAATTATTTACAGACGCTGCGTCAACAATAGGATTTGGGGGCTATTTTCAGGGGAAATTCTTTTATTCAACCTGGCCTTTGGATTTACCATCATTGACAAACAACCTTTCAATAGCTTTTTTAGAATTATATCCTATTGTTGTAGCAGCACTGCTTTGGGGGCCAGAGTGGTCTTGTAAAAGAATATTATTCTGGTGTGATAATGAGGCCACTGTAGCTATTGTGAAAAAGGGGAGATCAAAAACTCTAGAAATTATGAAATTGATGAGACAGCTGACTTGGTGTGCAGCTAAATATAATTTTTACTTTAGTGCAAAACATGTTCCAGGTTATAAAAACCAAATTTCGGATGCTTTGTCTCGTTTACAGATCACCCGTTTTCACAAGCTGGCCCCAAAAGCAGTACAGAGTCCATGCATAGTTCCAAGTGCATCAGAAGTAATGTGGCACTGAGTGAAACAGTTAGTAAATTATGGAATTATTCTATTTCTGAAGGGACAAAAGTGTCATATGAGACCGGTTATAATCATTTTTTAAAATTTTTGCTATTAAATGGTATAAGTGTCACTGACAGCAAGCCTCATTCAGTGTCAGAAGATCTATTGATATATTTTGCTACACATTGCTTTCAACATCTCAAACTACAGTACTCTACAATTAAACTATACATATGTGGAATTAGACATAGATGCTTGAAGGACAATATATGTTCTCCTTTCAATAATTCTAGTAACAATTTAGAGAGACTGTCCTTGTTTTTTAATTCTATTAAAAGATTACAGAAACCGATCATTAAAGATCGCTTACCCATAACTTTTGATATCCTTCAACATTTATGTGTTAAGCTTAAAGAAGGAATTTTTTCACCTTTTATTGACCAGATGTTATATACTGCTTTTACAGTAGCTTTTTATGGTTTCTTACGCTGTGGCGAGTTTACAATTCGCAGGTCAAAATCATTTGATTGTAACAACAATTTATGTATATCTGATGCTTTGTTTTATTCTGACTATGTTATTTTACATTTAAAGCAGTCTAAGACTGACCCTTTCAGGATGGGTGTTGATATTCAACTTCACAAGCTAAATCATGATTGTTGTCCATTTAAAGCTTTACATGATTATTTGATTGTAAGGAAAACCATGTTTAAATTTCAAAATAATAGTGCTTTATTTATTGACGAATCGGGTAAAGCTCTAGAAAGAGAATTTTTCATCAGCAAGTTAAAGCATCTTTTGGGTATCTGTGGATATAATCCTCAGTCCTTTAACGGACATTCATTTCGAATTGGAGCTGCTACAACAGCTGGAAAATCTAATATCGAGGATCACTTAATTAAAACATTAGGTAGATGGAATTCTAATAGTTATTGTCGCTATATTAGAACTAGTAAAAATGTAATTAAAAAGGCACAACAAAAGTTATCATCATGATTCTTGTATCTATCCATTACGTCATATCCTGTGTAAAATAATTTTTGCTTTTATTATTATTTTATACCATATAGTGTACATTTGCACATGTACAATACATACCTGTAGATATTAAACATTTGAGTATTTTAAATATCATGTATTTGTTTGTTTTATTTTAAAAACTGATTCATATGATTAAATACATATTTTATTATTTCTATCTTTCATTATCAGTGAAGTATTGAAGGTGTCCAAGGTGTTAAACTTTAAGTCCATCCCCTTACAACCACTTTCCTATTCAATTCCTTGGGGGTCACTCAGCTGTTTCACATCTGATCTTTGGACCATTACGAAATTCACCACTGGTTAATTTCTCTTCTTATCCCCAAGTAATTAACTACTTTTCATCTCTCCACCGTCAATTCAACCCCTTTTCGTAGCACCCTGCTACGAGATGAAGCATCGCTTCATCCCCTTTTGGAACCCTCTGCGTTCCAGTTGATTGGCGGAGTGTCCATGTCCACGGGGCTTGGCTACCCACTATACCAAGTGTCGTCGACAGGGCCTGGAGCAAAATTTTCCCAGCTGAGATACTGACTCCCAAAGGGCAAACTTATATTATATAATAAAAGTGAAACTTTATCAAGCCTTTGTTATCAACGGCCTTATCAATTTGTCGAAGTACTTGCGTCAGGTTTAGTCATTTGTCTGGTTCTGGTTTTTATATGGTCAGTAATTGTGGTTCTTCATCTTAAAGACAAGTTGAGAGACTGTAGCGTTTGGTCCCATGTTGTATATACATGTACATGTTTATGTTGAGTATAATTTGGCACCAGCTGTTCCAGGGTTAAAGAGCAACACTTGAAGAAACTATTATATAAGAGGATCTCAAAATTTAAGTTAGAGGTCTTGAGGTAATCATAAAGCACAGTAGTATCCAGGATCACATACAATGTGTTAAGGGCGTCACTTGGCATTCGTCGTCTCCTATGTGCTAACATGTCATGTAGGTCTCAAGTCATCACTTGGCATCCGTCTATCAATATTACTTAAGCTGTCATTTTCCTCCAGGACGAAAGTATAAATTGTAACTTATGCAGAGTATAAGTGTTGTTTATTCAGACGGGATGGTTTCTTCCATGAGATGGGGCAGTCGATTCCATTATAAGGTCAAAGGTCATGCCTAATTTGGTCTGTCTGATATCAAGGATTAGGTTCTCAGATTACAATTGCAGGCTGCCAGCTTCTCACTTTTGATTTTGCTGTTGAATACAAAGGACGTTTACTCAATAGGAATAAGTTTTCAATTTCACCCACCATCCACCCCAATCTACCACCTTCAATATTTCACTGAATGTGGGAACAGTTCTCAGCAACCCAGTGGTGTTTTATAAATAAATGACCATTACGAAATTCACCACTGGTTAATTTCTCTTCTTATCCCCAAGTAATTAACTACTTTTCATCTCTCCACCGTCAATTCAACCCCTTTTCGTAGCACCCTGCTACGAGATGAAGCATCGCTTCATCCCCTTTTGGAACCCTCTGCGTTCCAGTTGATTGGCGGAGTGTCCATGTCCACGGGGCTTGGCTACCCACTATACCAAGTGTCGTCGACAGGGCCTGGAGCAAAATTTTCCCAGCTGAGATACTGACTCCCAAAGGGATTTTGTCCAATTTCGCAAAAATCTCTATTTTTAACCTATTTGGGATGTCAAAATCAATGCTTAAAAATAAAACTCTGGCCAAAATAGTTCTATATAACTTTCTGACATGTCTTTTCATCAACTTAAAACAAGTTTTATCCTGAAACATTGAACATAATAATCGAGGCCAAATTTGGCCATGACCGAACTTACTCCTTTGCTGAAGTGACCTGGTGACCAGAGCCAATTTTAAAATGTGACCTTGTGACCTAAGGGGGTACCCTATTGGAGCACAGTATCTGACTTTGTGACATTTGTTGCTGTTTACTGACAGAAATTGAATCACAAACATGTTAATAACCCCATCTATTATCAATTTTAGTATTGTTATAACCTCATCTTATTAATTTTCAGTGTGTTGATCACAAATTCTTGAATATAGTTTTTCTTCAATATAAATAAGAAGATGTGGTATGAGTGCAAATGAAACAACTATCCATCCAAGTCACAATGTGACAATTATAGGTCAAAGTACTGCCTTCAACACGGAGCCTTGGCTCACACTGAACAGCAAGCTATAAACTAAAGCTAAAACACCATTTTAAAATTGAAGAATGGTGAAATTAAGAAGGAATCATCCTTTAAGATAATTATACCTACAAGTGAGTGTAGATTTCGATAATCTTTGATCACAATTCGTTGAGTATCATATTTTCCTTTATACTTTTGATTGCATTAAACTTCAGATGGTACACATTTTCTTGTATTCTCTTTGAGGCTACACTTCCAACTTAAACCTTATTTGAAAAATGTCTTTCTTTAGAATTAACCTCAACTGAATTGGTCAAATGAAGTATTTACATCTGCATTGAGATGCAGGATTTAAAAGAAAGAAACTTCATATACCTATCATATTTACCTGTGTTAATCAATATTAATGTATCAGTCTCTGAACATCCATCAGGAACACACACACCTAACCTTAACATGTACTGACCAGCAACTAGCTAAAATTAAACATAAAACAAATGCTTTATCAATTATCATAAAAATTAAATGATTTTTCAATTTAATGATTCTGATGGAAAGAAATATCTTCAAAGGAAGGTGTAGAATATTTTTTATTGAAGTTTGACTTGGTAATTTCCAGAAAGAGGCATAGAAAAAGCCCTTTTTCAACAACAACAAAATATTAAGTAACTATTTTTTATTTAAACTGGTGTTCATTATTCAATAGGGGAAAAATACATTACTTGTATTCACACATACATGTACCTTATACAGATTAATAGCAATATAATGGGGAATAAACAATAAATTTCATTATATGCTCAAGTTAGAGTTAAGCAATTTTGTTTATTGTTTCATGCAAATTATTGATAATTAAACTAAAATTAACCTTAATTATTGACTTCTACCTGATGATTATGACACAGATTTTACAAGTAAAATAGACCCTGATTGTTTTTTCTTGTATATATTTAATTTTTTGTCTTTTTAAAAAAAACAATCTTAATCCTTATTTTTTTAAACATAATTTACAGAATAATTTTATGTAGTAAGATCTAAAGTAATTATAGGTATACTATTGAGGTCAATAATTGTGCATTGAGTTGTGTATTGAGCTGTGTAATAATAACTTGATACAAGAGATATTAACTGTGGTCAACTATGATTGACATAAAGTGGAGTTGATTCCAATTAGTACTCAAACCTAAGATTGTAATTGTTTGTAAATAATGGCAGTTGTTCATCAGTAATAGTTATACACCGAGGGATAGGTGTGTCTGGATAAGACACGCCGTATCCTGAGGTGTATAACTAACTTACACCCAATGCTAAACCCTATATTTGTTAACATTGGTTATTAAATGAAAAAGAATGGATAGCATATTTATTGACAAAATCGAACCATGAATTATAAGAAAAATATTTTTTGTTTACATGAAACCCCACTAGTAACCCTACTTTGGCTATGTTCTTTCAAACTTTGACAAGTGAGTAGATTTTACAAATGTCAAAGTTGCTGTTTTGCATATTCGCGTTAAATCCTGGTGCTAATGTGGATCAGAAGTTCAAGGTTGACCGTTTCGTGCATCCTTATCACAAAAAAAAAATACATCATGCTCCTTGTATGCAGTTGTCAATATGGACGGGTATAAGACGGACGACATTTTGAGTTAAGCGTTGGATTTGGTAGAAAAGACTAAAGATAAAGGCAATATTATAACCCAAAGTACTTACCTGTATCAGTTTAATGAAGGTATGTTTTTTTTTCGTAGTCAGAAATTTAGTTTTTCAACGCTATCAATCAAATTATTTTTCCCTTGAAGGATTTTTTTTATTCAAAATAGATGCTTAATATTTTTTCGCTATTGGAATTTCCTAAAATGTGTTTTTTAATATCTTGAAACAACTTGTAGTGAACACTATTAGTAATTTCTTATGTTCATGCTATTTAAAAAAAATAATCAATTTCTATTGTAATGAATAACAATGGACTTTGTTTTCGGGATGTAGAAGCAGGGGTTTCCAGAAACCCCGCTTGTCACACCCTGTGGTCAAAATCCATTGTCATTCGCAACAATAGATCTATTCAATTTACACTTGTTTCAGAAATAGAAACTATGAAGTATAACAATAGAACTGGGGTGTAATACTGGTGATGTATCAGTGCTCTTACTTGCCTGAGGAAATAATAGGAATATTTGAAAAAAGTGTGGGAATCTACTTTGATATCAATACACATCTTGCACAACATTTTATTTAATTACTAACACTAGCATTTGAGACTGATAAAAAACTTTCACAATTCTTTGCAACTACTTAAATTTAATATCTTACTTACCTTTTCACATTAATTCATAAATATTAATATTTCATAAATTCTGATACCATCTTAAAATCCAGAGTGATCACATAGACTCAGCATGGCTATATCACACACACAAAATATTTCTAGATACCCTAATGATTGTTCAAATCAAATTTGGTTGAAATTGGTTCATGTGGTTTCGGAAGGGAATATTTGACAGATGATAAGTGATGACAATAGTTTGCTAGGTGAGCTATAAAAAAGTCAATACTGATCTTTTGTACTAATTTAGAACTTACTGGATTAGGAATGGTTTTGACAGGAATTGGTATTCCAACCAAACAATATTCCCCATCAAATGGTGCAATTTCCATATTTTCTGTCAGATTACTATGTATAGCAAGACACTCGTCATAATCACCTAACCATGTGATATCACCACCAAGGAGATCAGCTGGAGGTTTGGCTGCTGCATCTATCACTGTAAAATAAAATCATGTGATGACCATGTGATATCACCATCGAGGAAATCAGCAGGAGTTTGGTTGCTGTTTCTATCACTGTAAAATTAAACAATGTTATAACCACATTATATCACCATTAAGGAAATCAGCAGGAGATTTGGCTCTGAAATGCTTTAATGAATTTACCTTCATCAGGAACGCTCAAACCCCAAAACTGAAAACCAAGGATGTATGAATACTTGAGGAGCTATATGATACAATATTCTCAATATCAAGCACATATAACAGATGTCTAATCTATAAGATGCAATATTCTCAATATTAAGCACACACAACAGATGTCTAAGCTATATGATACAATATTCTCAATATAAAGCACATATAACAGATGTCAAATCTATATGATACAATATTCTCAATATAAGGCACATATAACAGATGTTGAAGCTATATGATACAATATTCTCAATATTAAGCACACACAACAGATGTCGAAGCTATATGATACAATATTCTCAATATTAAGCACACACAACAGATGTTGAAGCTATATGATACAATATTCTCAATATAAGGCACATATAACAGATGTCGAAGCTATATAATACAATATTCTCAATATAAGGCACATAAAACAGATGTCGAAGCTATATGATACAATATTCTCAATATACAGCACATATAGCAGATGTAAACTATATGATACAATATTCTCAATATAAGGCACATATAACAGATGTCAAAGCTATATGATACAATATTCTCAATATAAAGCACATATAACAGATGTCTAAGCTATATGATATAATATTCTCACTATAAAGCACATATAGCAGATGTCGAAGCTATATGATACAATATTCTCAATATAAGGCACATATAACAGATGTCAAAGCTATATGATACAATATTCTCAATATAAAGCACCTATAACAAATGTCGAAGCTATATGATACAATATTCTCAATATAAAACACATATAACAGATGTCTAAGCTATATAATACAATATTCTCAATATAAAGCACCTATAACAGATGTCGAAGCTATATGATACAATATTCTCAATATAAGGCACATATAACAGATGTCAAAGCTATATGATACAATATTCTCAATATACAGCACATATAGCAGATGTAAGCTATATGATACAATATTCTCAATATAAGGCACATATAACAGATGTCTAAGCTATATCATACAATATTCTCAATATAAAGCACATATAGCAGATGTCTAAGCTATATGATACAATATTCTCAATATAAAGCACATATAAAAGATGTCGAAGCTATATGATACAATATTCTCAATATAAGGCACATATAACAGATGTCAAAGCTATATGATACAATATTCTCAATATAAAGCACCTATAACAAATGTCGAAGCTATATGATACAATATTCTCAATATAAAGCACATATAACAGATGTCTAAGCTATATAATACAATATTCTCAATATAAAGCACCTATAACAGATGTCGAGGCTATATGATACAATATTCTCAATATAAAACACATATAACAGATGTCTAAGCTATCTGATACAATATCCTCAATATAAAGCACATATAGCATATGTCGAAGCTATATGATACAATATTCTCAATATAAGGCACATATAACAGATGTCTAAGCTATATGATACAATATTCTCAATATAAAGCACATATAGCAGATGTCTAAGCTATATGATACAATATTCTCAATATAAAGCACATATAAAAGATGTCGAAGCTATATGATACAATATTCTCAATATAAGGCACATAAAACAGATGTTGAAGCTATATGATACAATATTCTCAATATAAAGCACATAAAGCAGATGTCGAAGCTATATGATACAATATTCTCAATATAAGGCATATATAACAGATGTGGAAGCTATATGATACAATATTCTCAATATAAGGCACATATAACAGATGTCGAAGCTATATGATACAATATTCTCAATATAAAGCACATATAGCAGATGTAAGCTATATGATACAATATTCTCAATATAAGGCATATATAACAGATGTCGAAGCTATATGATACAATATTCTCAATATAAGGCACATATAACAGATGTCGAAGCTATATGATACAATATTCTCAATATAAAGCACATATAGCAGATGTAAGCTATATGATTCAATATAAAGCACATATAGCAGATGTCTAAGCTATATGATACAATATTCTCAATATAAAGCACATATAACAGATGTCGAAGCTTATGATACAATATTCATAATATAAGGCACATATAACAGATGTGGAAGCTATATGATACAATATTCTCAATATAAAGCACATATAGCAGATGTCGAAGCTATATGATACAATATTCTCAATATAAAGCACATATAGTAGATGTCGAAGCTATATTATACAATATTCTCAATATAAAGCACATATAACAGATGTCTTAGCTATATGATACAATATTCTCAATATAAAGCATATACAACAGATGTCTATTATTTGCCATATATGTATTTTTTTTTAAACATTAAAAATACATTGGATCTCATTCTGATCTAATGACAAAAGAGTTATGTGTGCTCATAAAAATTTGAATTTTCTGCTATGGATAAAGGAGATTTTTAATGACAGTGCTTTTTTTTTTACCTATGTGAAAAAGGTATCCATATTAAGTCAGCGCTAAACATTAAAGTATGTGTTGCTGTGTTAGCACTAAACATAAAGTATATTGTTATGTTAGCACTAAACATAAAGTATATTGTTATGTTAGCACTTAATTCTTATTATACTAGAACACACCTGCGACATCGCGGGTCTGTGACTGAATTAAAGTACCTACGCCTTATTTTTAGCCTGGATTTTTAGTATTCGTATTGTCATCTGATAAAGTCATGCTGATTATAAGGTGCACAGTTTTCTCTGCTTTCAAAATCTTTCTGTTTGAACCCGTTCTGGTTTTCTTACAGTAAATACTACAACCGGAAACTACATGTGACAATGATTGAATTTAGAAGTGTCAATCCCTGTATATTGATGAAGTTCAGGTGTGACTATGACCTAGGTATATAGTAAATCCCTAATACACCTTTTGGTGGTGCACCTGACAGAGGCAGAATGTACAGATTAGCTAACAGGTAACAGATGACATATACTATTGGTATCTGTATCGGATTCGACCCAGAACTTGTTAATTATTGGTAATATTAATTATGTGGAAAACAAAAGGGTCTGGAATGGTGTAATTTTTAATCAACACCATTGTCCTATATTAGTTATATATAAAGTTGAATTCTTTGATTCGTCGTTTTTACATCATGTCGGCTAACAAATTGGACCTCGTTTCTTTAGAAGTATAGATAGTACTGTACAAGACATATCATCATTATGTACTGTTGGAATGGTAATGATGTTTTATACCAAATCTATTCTGAATAAATGTGCTATCTTATATTTTAGGCTATGAAAATAGAATCAGCTGAATTATCTCTCAAGTCAATAATAAAATACTCTTGTGATGGTTCTTCTTCATGATATTAATTAAACTGTGTCTGAAGTATTGAACTGAATTGATAACAGAAGTTTTATGCTGTTAAACCAGTCCCAGACAAGGAGGAATGTTAATTAACATATCCTAAAACAAGAAACTTATATTAATTTAGTCCAAAGATTATTTTTTCTTCTCATATACATATCTACTAACTTGACCTTTTGGTCTTTGGTTTATAATTGACTCATCAGTAACTTATTTTTATACTGTGATCTCAAAATTATCACAAATTAATATTCAACCAACATAACCATCATTTATGGCATTTAAAATTATTTAGCTCTTCTGAAGACCACTACACCTATCTTAAACCAAAATATGTGTAATATACTAGATAATTTATTTGTGACATTACATTTCAAGATAAGGTAAAGCATACATGTACCTACATTGTATGTGACTTTAAAATCTAGTCAAGGTGAAAAACTAGGATCTTTTGAATTAAATTTAATACTGGTAAAGGTTGAAAATAAGGATTAGTACAGGTACGCATCACTATGAAAAATAACTCAAAACAAACACTACATATGTTGTATAAATATAACCTACTAGTATTTAAAATAATCTGCAGTTTTTTTCTTATATTTGTTTTCTTACATCAGACCAAGTATTGAAGTTATAGCATAAAATATAATTGATTATTTCAATCTTTTGACTACTTGAATACCTGTCATTATTTAAAGAAACAAGAGGCTCTCAAGAGCCTGAATCGCTCAAATGTTCTTTGTATCTGTCATATTTTCTTCAAAAGCAAAGAAATACATTTTACCCCTATGTTCCATTTTAGCCATAGTGACTATGTTTCTTGACGTACAAGAAAATAAAATATAAAATTTATACTAGATACTCTGAAACTCATTCAGCCCAAGTTTGGCTGAAATTGATTCAGCAGTTTCAAAGGAGAAGATTTTTTAAAGTAAGCAAACTATATGAACAAATTGTGAAAAATTGTCTTTAAAGGGCAATAACTCCTTAAGGACACATTTGACAATTCTGGTCACATTAACTTATTTGTAGATCTTACTTTGCGGAACATTTTTCTGTTCACAGTTTATCTTTATCATTAATAATATTCAAGATAATAACCAATAAAATGCTCCACTTGGGCGCAGCTTGATACGACCACAGAGGTCGAACCCTGAACAGTTGGGGCAAGTATGGATACAACATTCAAGCTTGATACAGCAATGAATTTGGATTGTAATTAAATATTTGACACAGCATAGGTTTCTGACACAGAATGAATGTGGTCTAAGAACTTAAAATTTTCAATTAACCTATTCAAACCATATCATTATTATTTGCTTTTATATATAAATCAGAAATAACCAATTTAAAATGGAAAATTTTAAAGAAAAAAAGTGAAAAAAAAATCCCCCCCCCCCCCAATTTTTGGAACCCCCTTATGAGTCATCACCCCCAAACTTAATCCCAGCCTTCCCTTTGTGGTATGGTACCTTGTAGAACAATTTCAGAGAGATCCATACACTTGAACACAAGTTATTGTCTGGAAACTAGAAAAATGCTTGTTTTTTGGCCCCAAATTCCTAAACGTTTAGGGCAATTACACCCAAACTCAAACCCAGCTTTCCCTTTGTGATATGGAAACTTGCAGTACAATTTCATAAAGATCTATACACTTACACACAAGTTATTGTCCTGAAACTAGAAAAATGCTTGTTTTTTTGCCCCTTTATGGCCCCTAATTCCTAAAACTTTGAGGAAATTACCCCCAAAATCAATCCCCCCCTTCCCTTTGTGGTATGGTATCTTGCAGTACAATTTCAGAGAGATCCATACACTTGAACACAAGTTATTGTCCTGAAACTAGAAAAATGCTTATTTTTGGCCCCTTTTTGGCCCCTTATTCCTAAACGTTTTGGGTAATTACCCCCAAACTCAATTCCAGCTTTCCCTTTGTGATATGGAACCTTGTAGTACAATTTCATAAAGATCCATACACTTACACACAAGTTATTGTCATGAAACTAGAAAAATGCTTGTTTTTTGCCCCTTTTTGGCAACTAATTCCTAAAATTTGGAGGCAATTACCCCCAAAATCAATCCTAGCATTCCCTTTGTGATATGGAACCAGTTACCTTGTGGTACGATGTCAGAGAGATCCATACACTTACACACAAGTTATTGTCATGAAACTAGAAAAATGCTTGTTTTTTGCCCCTTTTTGGCCCCTAATTCCTAAAATTTGGAGGCAATTACCCCCAAAATCAATCCCAGCATTCCCTTTGTGATATGGAACCTTGTGGTACAATGTCAGAGAGATCCATACACTAACACACAAGTTATGTCTGGAAGTTACAAAAATGCTTATTTTTGGCCCCTAATTCCTTAACTGTTGGTACCATAACCCCCAAAATCAATCCCCACCGTCCTTTTGTGGTATTGAACCTTATGGTAAAATTTCATAGAGATCCATTCACTATAACTTAAGTTAGAGTGCAAAAACCAATGTTTCTTTGGACGACGACGACGACAACGCCAACGTCATACCAATCTACGACAAATTTTGCAGTCGTATAAAAACTGCAAGTTTCCTTAAAATTACCAATTTAGTTGCAGCAACCCAACAATGGACTGTTAGATTTGTCTGAAAATTTCAAGGCTGATAGAACTTGGCCTAATGAACATTTTAACCTCTCATCAGATTTGCTCTAATTGCATTAGTGTTTGAGATATATTAGCCAAAAAATGCATTTTACCCTTATGTTCTATTTTTAGCCATGGTGGCCATGTTTTTTGACGAAACAGAAAATAAAACACAAACTTTATTCTAGATACCCAAAGTATCATTCAGCTTAAGTTTGGTTGGAAGTGGTTCAGTGGTTTCAGAGAAGAAGATTTTTTAAAGTTAGAAAACATGATAAACAAATTGTGTAAAATTATCCTTAAAGGGCAATAACTCTTTAAGGGGTCAATTGACAATTTTGGTCATATAAACTTATTTGTAGATCTTACTTTGCTGAACATATTTGCTGTTTACAGTTTATCTTTATCATTAATACTATTCAAGATAATAACCAAAAACTGCAAAATTTCCTTAAAATTACCAATTTAGTGGCAGCAACCCAACAATGGGCTATTAAATTCATCTGAAAATTTCAGGGCTATTATAACTTCACCTAATGAACACTTTTACCCCATGTCAGATTTGTTATAAACTCCTTTGGTTTTTTAGATATAAGCCAAAAACTGCATTTTACCTCTATGTTCTATTTTTAGCCATGGTGGCCATGTTTTTTGACGAAACAGAAAATAAAACCCAAACTTTATTCTATATACCCTAAGGATCATTCAGTTGAAGTTTGGTTGGAAGTGGTTTAGTGGTTTCAGAGAAGATTTTTTAAAGTTAGAAAACATGATAAACAAATTGTGTAAAATTATCCTTAAAGGGCAATAACTCTTTAAGGGGTCAATTGACAATTTTGGTCATAGAAACTTATTTGTAGATCTTACTTTGCTGAACATATTTGCTGTTTACAGTTTATCTTTATCAATAATACTATTCAAGATAATAACCAAAAACTGCAAAATTTCCTTAAAATTACCAATTTAGTGGCAGCAACCCCAACAATGGGTTGTTAGATTCATCTGAAAATTTCAGGGCTGGTAGAACTTTACCTTTGAACACTTTTACCCCATGTCAGATTTGCTCTAACTGCTTTGGTTTTTGAGATATAAGCCAAAAACTGCATTTTACTGTGATTGGGAAATAAAAAAAATTTTATTGTTTTTTTCTTATATAAAATTCCTGCAGTTGATTTATGTTTGAAGCAGGTAGTGTCAATAAGTGATGGAAGCCATCACAGAGGCCCTGTCTGCACAGTGATGCAATTTTTATGAAAACAACATTATTCTATGTAAAGTCAGAGGTCAATAGTGATTCACCATTTGAAAATTCCACATATATTTCATATAAAACACACTATAAATAATGGTCCTACTTACAGTAAGTTATTTTTTTGTTCGAATTAACTGAAATTTTTCCATTGAATACAGAAATGTCTGCAATAATTGAAATACATTTATCATTTTACTTTTAAGGAAATCACTGTTCAACCATTTCATCCCCAACGAATTCTTGAGGTATCACATACTGTTTGCCCAACAATGCCTCAAGGCATTGTCTTTCAGCATTGTTTTAATCAAATTAGCAACGAAAATACAGGAGGTATGATTGACAAAATTGACTCAGTCGTGGGGCATATTATAAAATTTGTTTCTTAGCTTTTTTTGTGCAATCATACCGTTTAAATTGGACAAATACATTAGAAACTTTGTACAAGCCGAGGAAAAAATTAATAACAATCTTATCTTCGTCATCTCTGAAGAAAATATTCACTGGAATACTCTAAAGTTAAACTGTTAAACTTTTTAGTACTAAAAAATGTGTTAGCATTAACAAGCCATGAAATAAAATGTTTTAAATAGAAAAAAATATTTGGTAACTCTGCATTATACTGGTAAGCTGGTATACTACTACATTTTGTATATATACCTGTGGTACAAAACTATGTTTTATCAACCTTAAATTCTTTGATTTAAATGAAGCTACAAAATGCAGCAGTTTACAATATACTGCTCATCACTTTATCCAAGCATGAAGACTGACAGTTTATTTGTATATTAGTAAGGTCAATGCACTACAAGTAAAAGGACTTTTAAAATTATGTTGAAATAGAAGGTCACATTGTCATATTGTAGGACATGAGGATACACTCAAAACCCTTTAATAAAATTAAGTTAATCATATGCAATTAATAAATTCTCTCTAGCCGCCTTTCAAGAAAAAAGACTGATAGAGAATCACTTTAATAATAAAGATAAAGTATTGTCCGTTAGATAAGAATGCCTTGCCATTAAAATATTCAATAATAAAAAGAGGTCATAAGCAGTCTGAATAACTCATTTGGCATAGTATTGAACTCAACTTCTGTTAACAGAAATTACTGTAATTTGTTTACGCTTACAAGGATCCTCTAGCATAATACTAAACATGCTAAACAATAAACACTTATTTAGTAAATAAAATAAATAATTAAAAATCTTCTGGACAACTCTATTTCAAAAGGTCACTAACTTACAGTTATATGGTAACTAAGTATAAGGGTCTGATGACTTCCTTAGGCGGGTGGTAATGTGAACTATGTACATGAGATCAGAAAAGCCCAAAGTTCCAATATTTTCCACCGTACCAATGGTATAACATTATTGCATTTTCATTGTTTTGTATGTTCTTATTGGTCTTAACCAAAGCACTTTGGGCAGTGACCCCATTTTTTTCTTTTCTTTATCTTTTTAAATTTTTTTTACAGTAAATATTCTATAGTATTTCAACTATTTTCACTTATTTAATGCATTTTGCTCATATCTATATGATATCACAATAACAGTAGTTTATATGGCGCCCCTTTATTCTTATTGTCCATAATTATTGGATGGGTGCCACATGTGGAGCAGGATTTGCTTACTCTTCTGGAGCACCTGAGATCACCCCTAGTCTTTTGGTGGAATTTGTGTTGCTCAGTCTAAAGTTTTTTATGTTGTGTTTTGTTTACCGTTGTTTGTCTTTAGGTCGTTTTTCTTTTTTTTCCATGATGTGTCAGTTTGTATATAGTCATTTTCAAGATAATAGAAAAAACATGCGTCTTACCCCCATGTTCTATTTACAGCTATGTTGCCCTTGTTGGTAGGCAGGGTCATCTGACACATTTTTAAACTAGATACACCAGTAATGTTTGTAGCCAAGGGTGGTGAAATTTAGCCCAATAGTTTCAGAGAAGATTTTTGTAAAAGTTAACAGTGATGACGACAATGGACAACAGACAAATGATGCCAAGTGATAAGAAAAGCTCACATGGCCCTGTGGGCCAGGTGAGCTGAAAAGGGATGGGTCAATGCAGAAGCGCCAGTGATCTAAACTTTGGTGATGAGGACACTAAGACTGTGCATCATAGTTTACCAGATCAGAAGATAAATTCCTGAATAAGTTCATTCTAATGTACTATGTAATAGTCATCGTTTCTGATTCCTTGTATAAACAAGAGTGCACACGCTGAAATGTCTCGCCTTCTTTACTAATCATTGATATTATGTTGATAGTCCTAAATATAAAGCTTTATTACAACTGTCACATAAACTTAACATTAACCAAGTAAACTAAACATTGACCAATGAACCATGAAAATGAGGTCAAGGTCAGATGAACCATGCTAGGCAGGCATGTACAGCTAACAATTCTTCCATACAACAAATATAGTTGACCTATTGCTTATAGTTTAAGAAAAACAGACGAAAACACAAAAACTTAACACTGAGCAATGAACCTTGAAAATGAGGTCAAGGTCAAATAAAACCTGCGTGACTGACATAAAGATCATAAAATATTTCCATACACCAAATATAGTTGAACTATTGCATATTGTATTAGAAAAAAAGACCAAAACTCAAAAACTTAACTTTGACCACTGAACCATGAAAATGAGGTCAAGGTAAGATGACACCTGCCAGCTAGACATGTACATCTTACAATCATTCCATACACCAAATATAGCTGACCTATTGCATGCAGTATTAGAAAAAAAGACCAAAACTCAAAAACTTAACTTTGACCACTGAACCATGAAAATGAGGTCAAGGTCAGATGACACCTGCCAGCTAGACATGTACACCTTACAATCATTCCATACACCAAATAAAGTAGACCTATTGCATACAGTATAAGAAAAACAGACCAAAACACAAAAACTTAACTATAACCACTGAACCATGAAAATGAGGTCAAGGTCAGATGACACCTGCCAGTTGGGCATGTACACTTTACAGTCCTTCCATACACCGAATATACTAGACCTATTGCTTATAGTATCTGAGATATGGACTTGACCACGAAAACTTAACCTTGTTCACTGATCCATGAAATGAGGTCGAGGTCAAGTGAAAACTGTCTGACGGGCATGAGGACCTCGCAAGGTACGCACATACCAAATATAGTTATCCTATTACTTATAATAAGAGAGAATTTAACATTACAAAAAATCTGAACTTTTTTTTCAAGTAGTCACTGAACCATGAAAATGAGGTCAAGGACATTGGACATGTGACTGACGGAAACTTCGTAACATGAGGCATCCATATACAAAGTATGAAGCATCCAGGTCTTCCATCTTCTAAAATATAAAGCTTTTAAGAAGTTAGCTAACGCCGCCGCCGCCGGATCGCTATCCCTATGTCGAGCTTTCTGCGACATAAGTCGCAGGCTCGACAAAAATTAGAGACTATAAAAAAAAAAAACACACAGACAGATTGACAGACAGACAGACATAAACCAGAATACCCCAATGCCTCCTTTAAAGCCGGATATGAAAAAACTATATTTTGCCATTTAAATACAATTAAAATGTTCTGCTGGGCGCAGCTTGAACCGACCGCAGAGGTCAAACCCTGAACAGTTGGGGCAAGTATGGTCACAACATTCAAGCTTGATACAGCTCTGAATTTGGATTGTATATAAATCAAAAATAACCAACTTAAAATGGAAAATTTTAAAGAAAAAAAAGGTAAAAAAAAAATCCCTCCCTAATTTTTTTAACCCCTTTATGATTCATCACCCCCAAACTCAATCCCAGCCTTCCCTTTGTGGTATGGTATCGTGCAGTACAATTTCAGAGAGATCCATACACTTGAACACAAGTTATTGTCTGGAAACTGTAAAAATGCTTGTTTTTTTGGCCCCTTTTTGGTCCCAAATTCCTAAACCTTCAGGGCAATTACCCCCAAACTCAAACCCAGCTTTCCCTTTGTGATATGGAACCTTGTAGTACAATTTCATAAAGATCCATACACTTACACACAAGTTATTGTCCTGAAACTAGAAACAAGCTTGTTTTTTGCCCTTTTTTGGCCCCTAATTCCTAAAATTTTGAGGCAATTACCCCCAAAATCAATCCCAGCCTTCCCTTTGTGGTATGGTATCTTGCAGTACAATTTCAGAGAGATCCATACACTTGAACACAAGTTATCGTCCTGAAACTAGAAAAATGCTTGTTTTTTGTCCCTTTTTTAGGCCCCTAATTCCTAAAATTTTGAGGCAATTACCCCCAAAATCAATCCCAGCATTCCCTTTGTGATATGGAACCTTGTGGTACAATGTCAGAGAGATCCATACACTAACACACAAGTTATTATCTGGAAGTTACAAAAATGCTTATTTTTGGCCCCTTTTTGGACCCTAATTCCTTAACTGTTGGTACCATAACCCCCAAAATCAATCCCAACCTTCCTTTTGTGGTATTGAACCTTATGGTAAAATTTCATAGAGATCCCTTCACTTAAACTTAAGTTATAATGCGAAAACCCATGTGTCTTCGGACGACGACGACGACGCCAACGTCATACCATATACAACTGTTTTTTTGCGGTCGTATAATAAAAGGAGATGTCAATGACCCTGCAACCCAGGGACTTTCTATAGTATAGAAAGTCCCTGTGCAACCCAACAACACAAAAAACAATAGATATCTTTTATAACTGTCAGTTCATATGACTGTAGTGTTGGGCAATTGAAAAAAAGACCAAATTCGATCATTGGGAATACTGTAAATTTGAAAGCTATTGCATTCATTTAACATTGTGATTGTTGAATAATGAACACAATTATGGGACTAATCATTGTGATTCCAGGAAATGTTGCATACAAATAATGCTATCAAATTATCAATTAATAAAGTCAATCTTTATTTTTTCAAAACCTATCCCGTCACAGTTTTTGCAATAATAATATACAATGAAACAACATTTTCTGAATTTACAGCAATTGGATGTGTATAATCAAATGTATTGCAGTTTGATATATTTTTAAACAGACAAGTAAACAAAAATAAATGTGGATAGCGTCCACATGTGGACACAGATGATGCCCCCGCTTCCATATCATATAGTTATAAAGGGACATAACTAAAGAACGGTAAAAGTGACGCTACCCAAATTTGAACTTGGTCTGAGTTTTTTGGTAATAAGCATTGTTGGTAAGTCTCATAACATTTGGTTGAGGCTAACTTTAGTAGAGAACAGAAACTAAAAATTCAGCAATTTTTCTATTTGTAAACACGCATTACTCTAGAACGGTTGTGTAGAAGTTTTATAACACTTGGTTGAGACAAACTAAAAAATTCAGCAATTTTTATGTTTATAAAGGGACATAACTCAAGAATGGTAAAAGTGTCGCCACCAAATTTCGTACTTAATCTGTATTATGTAGTAATAAGCATTGTGTATAAGTTTCATAACATTTGGTTGAGGCAAACTAAAGTTAGAAAACGGAAACAAAAAATTTGTACTTGATCTTAGTTTTGTGGTAATGAATATTGTGCATAGGTTTCATAATGTTTGGTTGGGGCAAACTTAAGTTACAGAATGGAAACTAAAAATTTTGCAATCTTTCGATTTAAAAAGGGGAATAACTCAATAATGGTTAAAGTGACACTACCCAAATTCAACTCGATCTGTGTTTTATCAGTGGAAGTCAAAATTAAACATTGCACTGTATAAAGCATTGTTTGTAGTTGATTCAACTATAATCATGGACAAAGGAAGATAACTCCAATTTTAAAAATTACTTGATATTTAGAAGAAAATAAACATTTTGCAATTTTTCCATTTATAAATGACATAACTCTAGAACGGTTAAAGTGACGCCACCAAAATTCAAACTTGATCTGTGATTTGTGGTAATAAGCATTGTGTATAAGTTTCATAACATTTGGTTGAGGCAAACTCAAGTGAGAGAACGGAAACCAATTTCGGGACGTACGGACGTACGTACGTACAGACGGACAAGGGTAGCACTTAATGCCCCCACCGCTATGGCAGGGACATAAAAATTGTAAGGGGTTCTGTAGAACCCTGTGTCTCGCCTGTGAATGCTGCTGTCAGTGTAAAAGTGTAATGTTGACCTAAAAAGTGAGTCCATTTATCAGTAAAATACAGAATTTAAAACAAAAATCAAACTTTTTTTAGATGCTATTCTTGGTCATGAATATTAGTGTCTGTCTTCTTATTTATAAGTCCATTTATCAGTAAAATACAGAAAAATGAAAATAAATATTTTCAAAATTTTGCTCTTGATACTGTATTTTGGTCATCAACAAGCTTCTGTCCAAATTTCATAAAATTGCATGAAGGTTTGCCAATTTTATTGATGACTGAAAAACTTTAACCTCAGACTGAGCCTGAATGTTAACTGTATAAAAAACTTACTACATTTATCAGTAAAATACGGAAAAATGAAAATAACTATTTTTTTAAATTTTTGTCTAGATACTTTTTTTTGGTCATAAACAAGCTTCTGTCGAAATTTCAAAAAATTCCATGAAGGTTTGACAAAGTTATTGATATCTAAAAAACTTTTAACCACAGACTGAACCTACATGTTGACGTCCCCTTCATCGACTACAGAATCTGTGATTGCTTTATCTCACTTTTGCGACATAAATGAGACCAAAAGACACAGAAAATAAGAACTGTAGATCAACGTACGGCCTTCAACAACGGGTAAAACCCTAACCGCATAGTATGCATATACAATTCATTTTACAAATACAAGTTGTATATATGTTATAGTAGTATCAGTTTTCAAAAATCAGTAAATAGGAAATACATTGTATAAAGCAAGCTTGGATTCAAAGTTTATTTGTATATATACATGTAAACGTTATCATAATGAATACCTTTTAGTGCTGGCAATGTTTTTTAAGACCTAGATCAGCTCAACCTAAAAAAGTTTAGAAGCATGTCATGGAAAACATCAATCATCATAATTAATTAGTATCCCTTATTTCCATTTTTAACATATTTATGCTAACCTTTTCACTTTTTTTTTAATACTCCAGTAGTAATCAAAGTACTGAAGAACTGAACATCGGATGACCGCAAGTTCTGGTGGATGGTCTCAGAAAAAAAATCATATCTATATATTATGCCTGAAAGTTAGGTCAAGGTACATACATATATTTTTTCCTGAGACAAGTTCCTGTGTGGATGATGAATAAATGACAGGGAATTTTACCTCACCGTAATAATTATTATATTGTAGTTATATAATCATTTGTTATCATTATAATCTTGTTTGTTGTTATATATTATATTAATATCTGTATAACAGTTATATATATAGCAGATCATCTCTCTAGATATTCTTCCGCATGCGTTAACACAAATTTTCGGTATAATATTCATGATTTGTTACTGATATATATATTTCTCACGACAAAACATTTTCATATCATTTATCTATGTTCTTAACAAATGTTTTCATGAGTATTCATTGAAGAAATGAATTTATAACAAGCAATAAGGAATGTTATTTTGCACTCGATAATATCCGCGTATTTATACGAAATACGTGCGGTTATCAGTCAAAAGCGTAAGGAAATTTCTGCTGCAACATATTAAAGACCGGTATGACCTCTCAAGGTCATATCCAATGTAAAAATAGCACATAGAAAAGAAAAAAGTCATGTTATATAATCTATCAGGTTAGGTACAAACTGCCAAATGGGGAACTATTCCCAAATGAGTAACAATCCCTTATTTGAATAATCATTTGATAGTGCTAAAACAAAATTTTCTCAACTGAGTCTTTTCATTTAAAATGGCATTTATTTATAAAAAATGCAGCAAATTTTTCAAAAAAAGAATAGCCCTAACCTGATTTACTAAGAAGTTACAAGTCTATGAAAACTTCGAAAAATTTACTATTTTCAAGGCTACTTATTTTCTTTAAAAGGCACTGGCTACAATTACGTTGAAATGTAACAATAAACACTGGACACTAATTGGTGGAATGATTTGTTGGGTAAGGATAAATAATAATTATTATTATTATTATTATTATTATTATTATTATTATTATTATCATCATTATCATTATCATTATCACTATTATTATTAATATTATTATTATTATTATTCAACAAATAATGTTTAAATAGTTTTTAAGTATTAATTGTTTTAATGTTCTTCAAGATAATACTACATAGATATAAGAAGATGTGGTATGAGTGCCAATAAGACAACTCTCCATCCAAGTCAAAATTTATAAAAGTAAACCATTATAGGTCAAAGTACGGTCTTCAACACGGAGCCTTGGCTCACACCGAACAGCAAGCTATAAAGGGCCCCAAAAATTACTAGCGTAAAACCATTCAAACAGGAAAACCAACGGTCTAATCTAAATAAATAAACTGTTATCACAGAGATATGTCTCGCCTTTTTGTAATTTTGATAATACAAATGAAATTAAAATAGCAATACTTTAACATGTAAGTTATGCAAATATTGAAAGTCGATGAACCATGATTGAAGGTACATGGCTAAACAATCTCCATGGAATGAGATGTGCCAATTCTAATACAACTGCATACCAGATACCATTGACTTATTATAAGTCGTTCCCTATAAACAAACCTAAACACAAACATTAACTTGTAAACTATGTAAAAGTTTCAAAGTCAGGGGTTGGGCTATATAATCTCCATGGAAACGATACTTGCAAATGCCAATAAATTTGCATACCAAATATCATTGACTTAACATTAGCAGTTCATCTTAAACTAATCTAATCACAAACTAATACATGTAAACTAGGCAAAAGTTTCAAAGTAAATAGACCATGACTGAGAGGGCGGGGCCAAATATTATCCATGGAAATGAGATGTGCTAATGCTTATACAACTGAACACCAATTGACATTGGCCTACTACTAATGGTTCCCCTTGAACTGACCTAATCACAAACTAATACACGTAAACTTAGCAAAATTTTCAAAGTCTATAGACCATGATCAAGGGGCGGAGCCAAATAATCTCCATGGAAATGAGATATGTCAATGCTTATACAACTGCATACCAAATATCATTGACCTACCACTAGTGGTTCCCCATAAATTGACCTAATCACAAACTAATACATGTTAACTATGAAAAGTTTCAAAGTCAATAGACCTTGACTGAGGGGGCGGGGCCAAATAATCTCAATGGTAATGAGATGTGGGAATGCTAATACAACTGCATACCAAATATCACTGACCTACCACTAGTGGTTCACTATGAATTAGACCTAATCACAAACTAATACATTGTTGACGCCATTGCCGACGCCGGAAACAGCATACCTATGTCTCGCTTTTTGACTCCGTCAAGGCGAGACAAAAACGAGAAACGAGAAACACTTATGAACCACATCAACAAACGACAACTACTGAACATCAGATTCACTACTAAACTACAGATTCACTACTAAACTTGGCACTACTAAACTACAGTTTAGTAGTGCCAAGGTGAAAAATATAGTTCAATGGTTTGATGTTAAGAAGAAAAGTGTTCACTTCTATGTATTTAACTGCACACCTACCCTTATTACTGTCTTTATACTTTGAACAATGGATAAAGTGATTCCTATTACCAAATTTGTTTTGGGTGAAAAAAAAACTAAAGCAATATCAAGAATCAAATTTTATATAGTTATACAAATGCAGTTCACAAAAAATTGATACATCGAAAGCAAAGTTTGACAACAGTGAACTAAAATACTGTGAACTTCTGTATGCTTTTTCATCATGACCATGACTGGGCAGATCGTAACATTGAAAGATTTACACAACATAGCAAACACAACGACACCTACTAATTAATACAGATTTTGACGCACTCCTCTCCAGAATGACAGAAGTTAAAAGTAACTATACTATCATGAGCCTGTAGTTCAGTTATTATCGTTGGTTCATGTCCGTCATATTTTTTTTGTAAATTGTTTTGTTATGAATTTGGTTGTTAGATTTCTCAATTGAATTTTTCACATTTTTTCATGTCGGGGCCTTTTATAGCAGACTATACGGTATTATGGGTTTTTCTCATTGTTAAAGGTTGTATGGTTTTCTACAATTGCTTTAATATTAATTAACCCAAGAATTTTTTTGCTGGTGCCATGGTTGAGGTGATTGCAAATGAATCTGGCATGGTTAGGGGCATTTTTTCCAAGACAAGCTAATGATTCTAGCATGGCAGACATTGAAAGTTGGTATAACTTCAAAAAGGGATATTGCAGAGTGGAACTGTTTAGTCACCAAAATCGATGTGCAAATTAGTGAATCACTCGTTTGCGAAGGCTGCCTAGAGTGGTTTCACATAAAATGTGTTGGACTGAAACATGCTCCCAAAGCACATACAGGATGTGTAGAAGCTATTATTGTACATAAAATAAAAATTGTAGCATTGCAGTGTTTATGAATAAAAGTTTTAAAGTTGTATTTTAATACATATTACTGGTCCCAGCATACATTGAAGTGCATTAACATAACAATAACACAAAGTAACCGTAGACACAAATAGTGTTGTTACGTTCGTAATTAATTGGTTCCTAACCCAACCTAGCATTCCGGCAATTAGTGTCCAACGTAACAATAACTTTTTTTTATTATTGTTACATTTCAATGTAATGGCCATTGATCATAGCCAGTGCCTTTTCAAAACCCAAAATAAAAATATGGTTCTTTGGAAGAAGTTGTTCCATTTTAAGTAAAAAGACCCAGTTTAGAAAATTACTCATTTGGCGGGTTGTTCCCAACCTGTTTATTGTCTTACTTCTTTCAGCCCAGTTCTGCCCTTCTAGTAGAGCCTTAAAAACCGCTTCTGTCTGATTCATGCACAAGTTGGATAACACAGGAACGACGGGTGGAGATATCGTCACATTGCTTTTAACCAAATCCGAGTCTGATAATCCATCAGTTTCTATGGCAGTAGAAAAATCAAATGATTGATCCAATATTTTTACAGCATTGCCTATTGTATTTGGCGATGTTTTGAAGAGATTCACGATCTCTGGTAACTGGTTAACTCGAATAAGAATCTCTTGATAATTGTCAAAGCCGGATACCAATAATACATGAACTGTTATGTATGTCATAAGTGTCAACGACATTTTCATCATGCTTCCAACATCGAATGATTTCTCGAATGGTTATGGTAAATAAGTTACACTGGTTAATAACAAGGGACATAATCGAAAACTAAATAAACCGGGTAAAAGGTAAAAACTGAGAACGACGGTGAATATTTCCGCTATTAAGATTCGGTAGCCGGGTGCATGACACGTCTTCCAGCTGGCACTGAGTCTGATACCTTGAGTTGTGAACTAGCACAATAAATCCGACTCATTGTGTCAACAGGAGATCATATTCATATCAAATTAACATGGTATCATCTTTTGGTATGCATGTACGATTTGTGTAAACACAGGCTAACTAAAACACGCCTTAGGTGTACTCGACCTACCTTTTCACTAGAATGTATTACCTATATTCATGATTATGTATAGGCCTAAATAAATGTGGTATTATAAGTATGGATAGATCTTTGAGATTTCAGATAATTAAAAAAATCATCATTATTGTTGTTTTAATTCATAATATCAAGGATTTATAACGTAACTGTTTTTTTCAACCAGAAAATATCGCGCGAACGTAATGCGTTTTGTCGCACAAACTTGGAAATTTTTCGCAACAGTAGGAATGATTCGCGAAACGTATTTAAGTGCCTATAAAAGTAAATAAAATATTGTACGAAATTTTACCTGGCGACACGTTTACGATCTAAACTGTATTTAATATAAAACAATGCTTATTTTAAGTTCAGAATTATAAAAAGTAATATTTTAAAGGCTGGTCTCTCAACAGTTATCCTTTCATTTCATTTTGATTTCTTTAATTTTTAACAGCTTTAAAATTGTTCCATAAATTTTATTTCATTCCTTGGAAGTCTAGGCATGCCAAATCAAATATACAACATATTTGTAAAACCACAAGAGTCATGGTAATTTCGAATGTTTCTCCTGAGAGTTGTCCTTCATTGTTAATGTTTTGTGACATCCTGAAGTATCTGTATAACTATTTCATTGTAAAACAGTATCCCCACTCGTCAATCAGACAACACTACAAAATTTTAGATTTGTCTCGTAGTCGATCACAGTTAATTTCCCCTTTTTGTCTATTATAACATAATGGCAATTAAAAAAATCCACCTGAATTTTCTAATAAGATTTGGTGTGCATAAAGTTTGACTTTAACTTCAAATATAAAAAATTCGGAAAGTCTACCAGCCCATTCTCTCCTGATAACCCTAAACATAAGGACACCGGTATGGATCTAACCAGAATGCTTCCGAGAAGAGGAAATTACACCTTAATTTACCTCACCAAATCACTCTTATCTTTTGAAAATTTCAAAAAGATTTTTTTTTCAGATAGTATATTTTCAACCATCAATTTTCGTTAATTCCCTAAGATTTTTCCGAGTTTTTTTTCTTTATTTTGTTGTATTTGGTAAAAGATGAGCTACATGGTTTATTTTTGAAAAGTAAAGGTCCAATCCACAGAAAAAAAATCACAGCATTCAGCATAAGGAAAAACATGCTATCACTTTTAAGAATAACAAATAGTACCCAGTGAAAGGACGTGAATATTTTTGCCCTTTTGTTGTTGTTTTTTTCAGTCCTTCAATGTTTGTATTAGGTTTTGGAATTTCAAATATTTTTGCTTCGAGGCTCACTAAAGAGTCATTAAATGTCGAAATGTGTGTTTGGTGCAGTTTAATATGAGCAGTGATTCCATATACTCTCATGATATTACATTTTCGTAGCAATAGACCTAAACATAAGAGGACAAGAGGATTTTTCCGGATTGGCCATTTATTTTCATCTGTTGCTATACGCATGCTTATTTTTTCCGCGGCTTTGCCGCTGTACAATTTATTTTCTCTTTGTACACTGTATCCTCAACTATTCTGCATTTTATGTTGCAGAATATTCATTTACATCTTGTCTTGTGCGAGGTATTTATTTTCAGTTCTTACCAGGCTAAGTTACTCATTTTCAAAATCCTTCTGCCCCTATCAGAAACCCCTAAAATCATTTATATTTCAAATACAATAGTTTCGGTTCTTATATATCCCGGCTTTCAAATATCCGTCTTTAAGCGTTCCTGATGGACGTAAATCTAGAATCGCATGCAATTCAGTTATAAAGTGTTGTTTTTAAAATTACTTTAACAGATAATATTTTTGAATGCATAGTAGCGGTTCTGAAATAACCTTTAGTAGTAAACAAACTATTTACTTTATTTTTACCTCGGTCATTGATTTGAACTCACTAGTTATTCCACAGATTATTCGTATTTCCAACGGCAAATTCAACAATTCTAAAAAGTTGTTTGCTTTATATATAAAAATAATATTACCATAAGGTAGAGACATCGTATTAAAAATACCACTTTTCATTAAATTCCTGCAAGTGGAATTATACAATAAGTCCATATATTTATGATTTTTTGCAGGGATTTGACAGTTTATAATATCTCTATCCTTGCTGATATTTATTTTTTTTGCAATGGTTATGTTATGTTTACTGAATCGGAGACGTCACTTCAAACACAGATACAGATTATATATAAATGGAAACAAGCGAGGAATGTATACCCAACATGCAGCCAACAGAAAGAAATATTAACAAAGTGAATGGAAAGGTCGGCTAGTTTGTAATACATTTTAGTTTGCAGATTAAATGGAGAAATTCTAGTATCAAGATCGAATACAATTAAGACAACGATCACTTTTAAACGTTGGATTGAGTACAAGTAAGTGTAGAACGATACATTCATTGGTATATTTAGAAAAATCTATGATATTTAGAAAGAATAAACAAGTGGTCTAAATATCTGCAGGCAATGTTGTAAATATCTATTGAGGTTTTTCATATCTTGTTTTATTTTTTTCTGAGGGGAGATCTTTTGTTATTTTTTTCAAATATAAGTATACATTTTTTAACTGGTCTGGGAATTGGTTAAACGCTCACGGTAATATCCATATATGATAGTGTTTACAACTGATAACCTTGGCGCATCTTTTCAAACACTTCAAATTATATTGCACTTACAGTTACGCTCGTATATAAATATACATTACGATTTGAACTTTTTATAATTATTCTGTAAAGGTTCACACATAATTTACATTTGTGGTGCAGCAATAAAGTTGACATTTGTGACATATAAATAAAGCATGTTATATATACAAGGTACAATTAAGGCGTATATCTGTCTTAATATGATCACTGAGATTACTATGTGTGACATTGGGGCATGTAAAGGATGGATAGATCAAATTATAGTAAGCGAAAAAGTGTAACCAAACACTTGCATCTTATCGAAGGAAAATATATCATCTATGTTTATTTACCGCACAAATTAGTCCATTTTCTCCAATTACTTTCTTTCATCTTAACTGCGAACGAAACATTTAAAATACCACAAAATTTAACTAACCAATGAAATAGATAAATTTTATAATCTTTTGTTCATCATTAAGTGTTGTATACTGTATTTTGTAAGACAAACGTAAAATAAATACAAACCAAAATGAACAAAAAGGTTATTACATACATTGAATATTTGGTTAATTTTATACATCCCTTTGTAGTGCCTCGCAAATGACAAATGGTTTTGCTGTAAAGTTACACATTTCAACAAGGATAAACAAATTAGTGTATTGTTTTGTCGGAGGCTGACCTTAAGTAAATAGGTTCACTTTTTTTTGTTATTGAAATATATATGATTTTCTGTCAAAGGTAAGTAATATTTTGATATAGTTTCTATGTGCAATCTTAAACACATAATATATCAGTCTGTGCATGGATGTATGATATATGATATTAATACCTGCTTCCATAGTCTGCGAATCTCAGTGATTTATCGTTGGTGCATATATGCAGTATGTAATGTACTTTTTGCCTTCTCGTTTTGTATTACCTATTAATAAATTAGAAAGAGATATAGTTCTGGCATAGCTATACCAATAAATGAAATCAATTAATGATTTAAATTGAATCCACTTTTCATATGTCTCATATTTTAAAGGTTCTGTCTACATCGGTCCCAGCAGGCCATTATTTGATTTTGACCGATCTTAACTTTGTTCTGCAAGTTTATTTGATCTAGAATTTGTCTTTAGAAACTTTTGACCTTGATCATACATGTACCTCTCAAAGGTCAAATCGGAAAAGCCCTTCAAATAAGTGCATGTTCGTGGTAAAAATAAATATCCTTATATTTCCTATATTGAATAATGCAATAATATGATATTTTTATCATATAAATATATGAACTAACAACCATAATGATGATTTCTCTAATATATATACTACATCTCACAAATCTCATCAAAGAGAAATTTTCCTATTAAAACCATGGCCTTTCGCCAATTGTATATATATATATATATATCTGTTGCAGCTGTTAAATTTTCATTTCTAGAAATAAAACTTACAAAAAACTTAAAGTTGACACACAAATTATTGAATTCACTCGTTTTGTTTGATAATCATTATACCGTTTTGGAAATAAATGATACCGGCAAACATTTGGTATTCCGATGTGGACTAATCGTGCACTCTCATCGCAGATTTATCCCTTCACTGTTGTGAAAAACAGTTTTTGGTAATACTACATAAAACGAAAATCAACATGATGGATGGTTATACAAACGATATTTATCATCTTCATTCATTCTTACTAAGTCAAATTTCCCGAAGATTCCTTTGTGAATTATATTTTTCTTAAATTACCTTCCTTTAATACGCAAAGCTAAAAAATTTGAAATCAAGTAAAGATATTCTAGTTCTGTAATAATATGAGTGATAATAACCTAAGGTCACATTAATTTGTTCATTTGAATGTAAATCCTTATTAGTAAGTTGCATTCCTGCATCTAAATTTGCTGACCAAATTTGTGGTCAGTGGTCGTCTTATGTCAAAGCTTAATAGATTTTTTAAGGTGTTGATGAGTTTCTGTTCAACTTATACACAACATTTATAGACTCGGGTGGATTAAGAGCTTGACCTATTCTATGTCTATTGTTGAAATATTTTTGTTATTTTTGTCGTTAGGTTGCTGTTTCATCGATGTATACCCTACAGTTCCTTCTTTTTCATTCATATAAAAACACAAACCAATAAAGTACACGACATCCCTAATTTACAATATAATATTGTACTAAACCAAACAAAAGTGAATCTACATAATGTCAAAAGTCAAATCAACATAACAACCGTATTTACAAGGCGCGATATCGCCAAAATCTCTGAATTTGTGGTTGTTTGTTTCATTTTAATTTTATTCATAAATGCAATTGTTGAAAAAAAAATCTTGTAATAATTTCAGATCAGCAAGTAAAGGCGGAATGGATTATATCACTTGGAGTTATTATGCATTATCTGTTTTGTGGATGCTAATCTGGTTACCTGATTGTAACGCTGGAAACCATACAGGTATCAAATTATATTGAAACCAGTTATAAGTCATTGCTACCGAAGATGTAACAAAATTGAGGATATGTTTTAAGCCATATAATCCACTTATACTTACATTAAACCATACACCTTTCAATGTTGAAGACACTTGGAGGCAAAGTTTTTTACGGCAAGAACTGTAAAAAACACTCTTTGTTATTGTAAAGATTCTCTGAGGGATAATTTTCTTTTTGAAAACAAATAATCTCATATTCAAAAAAATGTCTATAAAGGATTTTTTTGGGGTAATCGACTGTCGTGACTGCTATGAGGGTGATATCCTTTTTTTGGGGTGACACGTCGATTAACCGAGAACGAGTTTAAGATAAAATATCTGACAATGGAAACTGTAAGGAAAACAATATTTGAATTAATCTTTTTTTTTAGTTTACGCCGTTTTCTTTTTTTTAAATAATTCAATCCCCTCTTGGTTCAGCTGATATTCCTTATTTATTATTTTAGAGTATAAGCAACCAGATGTCGACGGTGAACGAGACAAAGCGAGAATTATGGGAGTTTGTGTAGGTGTAGGCCTAGCTATGATGTTTCTGGTCATGTTGTGTATTAGCTATAACTATTATAAACATAAAACACCGCCACCTGTAGAAGAAACATGTGCAGAACCAGAGCTACCAAAGAAAAAAGTTTTTGCATCAAACGATCGGGTCATGCCAGTACAGAAAAAAGAAGAAAACATTACACAAGATACACGTTTTTAGTCTAGAGTTTTTTCGCCAATAATGCTATTCATTATTCTGTAAATTGCTTATATGTTATTTCAATTTTTTTATTTGTATTAAACATGAGATATACATTTGTTACCATACTTATTATTGATTGATTGATTGATTGTTGGTGTATTATTGCCACTTTCAGCATTCTTGGCTATATCGTGGCGGCCAGTTTTAGTGGAGGAGGAAGCCGGGGTGTTCGGAGAGAACCACCGGACCTTCGGCAGAAAACTTGCAATCCTTGTCAATTAATATCGTAGTCGGTGCACTTGCCACGTGCGGGATTCGACTCACAACCTCAGTGTTGACAAGCTAGTGATACTGTAATTGAACTGCTTGGTCCGTTCGGCCACCGTGACCATATAGCAAACTTCTTAATATTACTAAAGGTAAAAATTGAGAAAAGAAATATCTTCCATGCAAGAAAAGAGGATGTTGTTGTGCACTCAATGAACTCAAGTTGCAAGATATGTTGTGACAAACAGGGTTAATGTTTGCAGCGAAATGTCTCAAAGGAAAAAAAAGATATACCTATCTTAAATTAGAAAATATTGAATATGGTTTATAATAAAGTAAAGATTTTATAAATTTAACAGAGCTATCAAAGATCTGTCACCAATATCAAATTCCCTCAAGAACAACACATATTGAGATATAAGTAATATAAAAATAAGGAGATGTAGTATGATTGCCAATGAGGCAACAATGCACCAAAGTTCAAATGAATTGGATGTAAGCAATCATAGGCAACTGTAAGACAACCACTGAACAGGTAACTGTTCAAGATTCGAGATTTTTGTTTTTGGTTTGAATTTTTAGGGAAGAGACTGGAGGGTGTAAGATGGTGGTGGTATTCATTATGACTTCGTTAGTTTCGATAAGTGACATTTTAACTATTGGAAAAGAAGGATCTGTTTGAAATAGAGGACTTAGTGTATTTACTAAATATTCACTCATCTAAATGATCAATTGGCGAAAAAAGATATTATATTAGGTTCACTCTATATATAATGAAACAGTAATGTACAGCTTAAAAAAACTAAAACAAATCGTTGGTTTTTCTTGCATCCCGTCTTCTATAAAATAATAAGATGTGGTATGATTGCCAATGAGGCAACTATCAAACAGAGTAGGTAAATTATGCTGATTTTTAGGAACGGCCTTCAACATTGAGCAAAACCCATACTACATATAGTAAGATATAAAAGGCCTCGAAATGACAAAAATGGGAAAAAAATTTGAAACGATAAAAATCGTCCTGATTTATGTACAAAGCAATGGACGAAAAAACAATATTACGGACGACAACTAACTACATAGAGTTCGACGGGGTTAAAAATGTTTGTGAGGGCACAAAATACCCACCCCTAACCTGGGACAGTGGTGTAACATTAGAATAAATTGCAACAATCAGTTGGAAATGACTTGACTCGAATTGGCACAAAGCATCCACCCCGCTCACTCCAAAAAAAAACCCAAAAAACAACAACAAAACAACAACACAAAACAACCAACATAATGTCAAAAGACACACAGCACAGATCAAAAAGTACTCACAGTTATTGAAAGCTTATTCTCTCGGATTACAGTATCAATCAGTACACATGCACTCAAAGGATTAAGAGTAAATAAGCCATAAACTAATGCATTGTATTTCTGCATACAGGCTTTTGGCAACTGGATACTATAACATTGTCCAAAACCGAGATATTATGAATTATTTAGAGAAAGGACCGAAATGTTGCACACCTTCTAAAATGAACTAGATGGAAAGTTTCACACTTTTGATAATCTTTATGAAATACAAGTGTTTATCTTTGAGGATTTGTATTTCATATGTGGTAGTTATTGCAAAGCGAGTGACTGTTAAAGACCGTACGGTGACATGTAGATGATCAAATCATTGTCGTTTGTCTCATTGAAAATCGATACCACATCCTATTTTAATATAGTGATAGCTGAAAGAGTATTTAAATGATTCAACATAGGTTTGTTGTTACATTTCTTGCAAGCTTTGTAAATCATTCAGTATGACATCGATATATATATATATATATATATATATATATATATATATATAAGAATTAGGGAAAACAAATGTACTAAACCACAAAGTATGTTACAAAATATATACTAGTATGTCAATATGTACAGGCAATACCTTCCGGAAAATGTCTTCGAATGCGGTTCATCATTTGAACAATTGCTGATTGGCTGTCATAGCTCTGACATGATATAGGTACTTATACATGTAATGCATGACGCATGCTATTTAAGTTGGAAACAAAGTTATTAGACTGTAAATGTATCATATAAGCAATACTTTCATTTTGATTTAACAAAAAAATGAAAAAAATTCGAAACAACTGTTTGGATATACAATCCAAACTTAAAAAGATAGACACATATATTTAGACATGAACAACGACAATAACTTTTGAGTTTCTTAGCTTGGTGCAGAGACTTACACACTTAGTGTATCTCGTTTCGTCTCGATCATTTGAATAATGAAAGACACAGACAAAAGCAAACAATAGATATATTAGTCCAAAAAGATACTCAGTTCAAAAACCCAGGTCTTACAAACAACAACAAAAAAACACAACTAGGTTGATACAACTTCCGAAGCAAATTCGATAACTGAATATCTATACATGATCCAAAACAGCGCAAATACTTAAAGCAAGCTAAAGTACTTCATCTCATGATGGAGACATACTTGTCAGTTTTTCCTGCTTGAGTTTTTTACAGTGGAACAGAAGAGATATAATACTCGCTTAGGGACGAAAATTTACCGAACATCTTAAATAACTTGAGTGGCCGTGTTTAGCTTTCGTTTGTTTGCAACCTGCTATGCAATCCATCATAAAGTTCCGAGGGATCTTAATTGCAAGTTTCAAGTTTTTATTTACATAAAGACCCAATTTGAAGTATTTGAATCATTACAAAACAATATCACAATACACTGAAGAGAAACGAATTATGAGCAATAGTAACAATTAAAGCATAACAAATACACATAAATATAAAGCTGTTTCAGAAAGTCGACCTGACGAGACCCTCATGGGTAGTCAAAATAGGTAAACACCTCGTAGTAGTAGTAGTTTCAGAAAAACAACCAAAGCAATAATTAGAATATATGCATTTCGTCTTTTCAGTTGACAACTGACAATAGGATTTTACAAAATTTTGTTGCTTTAAAAGTAAATATCATGTATTTCGGAATTAAGGAGAGTTTGAAAATTTGCCCTTTTTGGTTTTTGTAGAAAGAATTCGAATCACATATATCACATAAAACTATCATCTAATTCAACACCCGAAATCGGTCTCAGTCGATAGAATGCATTTTTTTAAACGTTGAAAGTTAAACAATGACTTTTCTTAAATCATTTGTAAAGTGAAGTTAATATAACGGCGCAAGTCCATGAATAAAAATTTCTTTATCGTTAAAAAATAACAAAATACTTTTTCTGAAATTGTTTAATTTTTTTCCAGAAAAAACCCAACCCAATAACACTTTACTGTACTATCTGACACTCTAACGATTTAGTTGAAAACAACTGCCCCGGGCAAAATGCGCTGGAAGGTGACAAGAACAGATTCTAAAACGTATTTATTTTTAATATTCAACCTTTACTTATTCTTTAACGATCAATTGTCTCGATATACCAAATGGCAGCCGTGTTTTTGTTCAAAATTTTCACATAATCGCTGTTTGATAGTTTTGACAGACTACATATTTAGGTTCATTTTGTGACAACCGATATTACCGAGAGTAACCGCAATCAATTAAAATATTTATATCTGACATATCCATTTATCATGAAATTAGTCCTTTTTATGCATAGTATACAATAGTTTACACACAAAACAAAGATTTAATATTTGACATAGACAAAATCTCATTGTTCTTACTGTGCTATAATCTTTATAATGCACAGCTACCGTGTTTAAGAAGCCCACTCCTTCTTAAAACTTAACTTATATATATATATTTTTGTACAATGTAAATCTTAGATCAATCCCCAAAATAAGTAAAACTAAGAATTATTATTTTGTAATTTCTAAAAAAATGAATGAAAGTTTCAGAAAATCTAAATAATAAAATAGAGGCGAAAATTTACGATAGGCATGTTTCTCACAATTTATATGATTTTTTTTTATGAAATTGTTTAACAAAAATAAATCTAGAATTAATGTTCTCGAAGTTGTCGAACAGCACACGAATAATAAGGTTGGCGAACAGTACATAAATAGTAATGTTTGCAATTGGCGAACAGTACATATAATAATGTTATCGAACTTGGCGAACAGTACATAAATAATATTGTTGGCAAACTTGGCAAACTTGGCTAACAGTACATAGATAATAATGTTGGCGAAGTAGGCGAACAGTGACAAAGTTGGCGAACTTGGCGAACAGTTATGATTTCGTAAAAGTTGGCGAACATTATGAACTTTAACACAATCTTGTACCTGAATGCCAAAGTGACATTTAAACACATAAGTCGAAAATAAACTGACAACGCCATGGCAAAATAGAAGATCAAAAGACAAACAACAGTACACAAAACACAACATAGAAAACTAAAGACTGAGCGACACGAACTCCACAACAAACGGGGGTGATCTCAGGTGCTCCGAAAGGGTTTATGCAGATCCAGATTCACATGACTTTTGTGGCACCCGTCGTGTTGCTCGTGTAAGTGCAAACCCAGTGATATTAAGTATAATTCGGTAGGTCACATTCGGGGAAAAGAGAACGGGATTGTGGTTACGTTCGACAATTGGAACATCCGGATCTGGTTGTTCATCTCTCGGTTAAATATAACCCAGGGTTAAATCTTTTAATTGAGGGTTACGTAACCAAGGGTTAAAATTCCGTTGTTCAACTTGTTTTTAACCCTTGGTTAAATTTTTAGCGGGTGTTCATTTTTATCAAAATAAGAATAGTGAACACTATTCTCCGGTCCTAGAAAATCTGTTCGGTCAATAAATATGATTTCTTTCTTTTCAGCGTCTAAGGTCATTAAATAGAACAACAACAACGCGGACGTGACAGAGAGCACCTTTTGTTTGAA